TAAATGACAAACTACACAAGATTTTTTATTGCATGCATTATTGAATGATAAAGAATCAACAGTTAATCCTTTCTTTTACTAATCTCTGTAATGGACAATGTTCTCTCTCTTTCTTCTTTTTGATTTGTGGTTGTAGATGAGCGTGAGGTCTCTGGCAGGGTTTGGTCCTGGTCTGCTGTCTTTGTCTCTGGAAGGGAATCAGTTAGAGGAGTTGCCTGACCTTTCACCTCTTACTGGCCTTCAAAACCTCGCCCTCAACAAAAATCCGCTAATGTGTGACTGCAAATTGCTACCATTTTATAGGTGAGATGCACACCAATGAAAATTCATATCTATCTATATATCTATCTATCCATCCATCCATCCATCAATTTCTGTCTGTCTCTCTTCCATTCAGATGGTTGGAAAATGTGAGTCTGAAGGTTGAGGCTGTGTGTGGTTACCCCCCTGAGCTGCGAGGTCAGTCCGTGCTAGAGGCGGTCATCTTTAAGAACTGCTCTAAAGAAAATAATCATTCCTTCAATGAGACCTCCATCCCCACCACAGCCCCTAAACCCAACAAACCCAAACCCATGAAGATCAAAGCAAAAGCCAGACCCATATCATCTGAACCTAATCCTAAACCAGCAAAGACCAAACTTACAGCGGCACCTAAGAAGAAGGAGTCTAACGAACTCAAACCACTGCAAGCCCTGAAAACAACCAGGCCAAACAAGAAAAAAAGAGGAAGGCAACCAAGGATTAAATTATCAAGGAAATAAGAGTTGAATTGAGTTTTTTATTTAAACTAGCAGCAGTTAATTACTGTGTGGTAGTATTGCTGTTGATTTGATTCAAAGTAAAGCTAACGATATATTCACCACTGTATTCTGTGTTTACATCCACTTATCATAAATTGTGCAATTTGTTTTAGGACAGAACAAAATCAATTTGTGTAATAATCCGAACCATTCCAGCAAAGGCATAGGTCTATGTCTTTATTCATAAATATGAATTTTTATAATATTAAGTGTGTGTATATTTAAATAAATCGTATATTTAAAAAAAATGTTTTGAATTCCCTTGCAAATCTATTTAAATGACATCTTCATTAGAAAATATAGTCTTCACAGAAAATATTTAGCAGATGCTACCATCTGGTTCCATGGTGTAATGGTTAGCACTCTGGACTCTGAATCCAGCGATCCGAGTTCAAATCTCGGTGGAACCTAATATTTTCCATTTACCCACACAACAGTATAGTCTGCTCTACTTTACAATAAATATGTTGAGAAAAGCCACTTATGAACATATTAATATTGTTAAAATAAGCAGAGGTCTAAAAAGACAGTATTGCTTTATGATTAAAACCTATCGCTGATTATTAAACTGAGGAACGAGGCGATCTCATTAACTCTCGCGAGAGAGCAGACCATTAACAAACATGGCGGCCGCGATGGATGTGGACACCCCGAGTGGAGCCAACAGTGGAGCCAGTAAGAAACGTTTTGAAGTGAAAAAGGTAACGGATGGAGAAGTAAATGTTAAGGGTTGATGTTAAGTATACATACAGTTAATTGGTTTTAGTCTTCTTAACATTTAAATTCTTCCATAGCGGCGTGTTTATAATCCCCGGTTAGCATTAGCTGCTCTGCTCCTTTTTTACATCATCTTCAACCAATGGCTGTTTTTTATGATTAACAAACAGCTTTTAATATGTCACGAGAATATGTAGACTCTGATATCAAGCAAACACATGTAACTTGGGCGTCCCTCAATCGAATTCTAGTAAATTCTGCAACGTAATCCGACAGTTTATTAAAACAGGCCACTAGAAATTAACCACAGATTGGGAATCACGCAGAAACTAGCGAGCTGCCTAACGTTACCTAGATAACTTTTTTTTGGAAATTATGGGCGGGTTCCGGAAGTTTAATCGTAGACTCATTCAGAACGTTCGATTTGATAATTTTGGCCATCATATAGGCGCCTTCCGAAGATTCAGTTCTTCAGATTCAGGCCTTCGTCTGATTATAACACCTTCTGAACTTGTCAGAGTAGTAACTTACCAATGCTGTTTTTTAAGTGCAATGAACATGGTAACCATCTAGTACCATGGTATATATGAAAGTATCATGAAATAAAAAATGATCACAGAATAAGAAAAAATTTAATCGCACAATGCTTACTTTAATCCCTCAGAATTATGAGATACACTTGGAATTGGGAGATGAAAAAGTTGCTTTTACCTTTTATTAATCTGTGGTGGAAACAGGCTTCCATTTAAAAACCTACAATTTTTAGAAATACACATATATAGGTCCACCTGAAAACCCCTAAACATAACTGTCACTGACTCACTGGGGCATACACGGATTATATGAAAACTTCCGAATGAGATCAAATTTGATTTAAAACGGACAAAATATTGACACATTTCGACGCAATTGTGTTGAGATCTGTCTGGTTCTCTTGCAGTGGAATGCGGTGGCTCTGTGGGCTTGGGACATTGTGGTGGACAACTGTGCCATTTGTAGAAATCACATTATGGACCTCTGTAAGTATCAACTCCTATTTAGTCCTTGTGCTCTTTTAATCTGACGGCATTCTTTGTTTTGTCATGGTCATTTACGTCCAGTTCATTTTTAACACCTGTATTTCCTTCAGGTATAGAGTGTCAGGCCAATCAGGCATCAGCTACATCAGAGGAGTGCACAGTGGCCTGGGGAGTCTGCAATGTGAGTAACACACACACACACACACACACACACACACACACACTGCTTGATCTCTAGGTCTGTACATTTTGGTTCTGTGTGCTTTTGGTTCTGCAGCACGCGTTTCATTTCCACTGCATCTCTCGCTGGCTGAAGACCAGACAGGTGTGTCCACTGGACAACAGAGAGTGGGAGTTTCAGAAGTAAGTGATTTTGTTTCTTTATTAAAAGTGGCAGATCGAATAAGTGTATTAATAGAGAATCCTACTTAACGGTTAAAGGCATAAATTGGAAGTTGCGGTAGTCTTTTCTTCCCTATTGACGTATATCCGAGTGAAATGGCTTCTCGAACAAGAAAAACTGTAGGAATCCGGAATTGATTGGATGGTTGTGGTTTGCTATTGCTGTGATGTCATGTGAGTGACAGGTTGCCCTGGCCTCACGCCAGTAAATGCGTCGTCAGAGAAGAGATGAGCTGCAAGAGGGAGAGGAAGTTATTTTGATTAAAGGTTAAAAGGGCATATATAAAAAAATAATGATGTGAATCAGTTTTTAGCACATATAGATATTAGAAACCATTTACTTGATAATGTTCTCCTCCATTATTAGTATTTTCTAGAACTTTATCATTGGAAAGTCGCATTGGTGTTCCTGACATGTTTTGTTGGTTGTACATGTTCACACTTGTGTTATTATTGCTGATCTAATGTTGCTCTGTTTTCCAGGTATGGCCATTAGCAGCGTCTGGACGACCCTGTGTTTGTGCTTCAGATCCAGGATTTGCTTTTCTTTAGATGTCATAATTCTCTCCCTGTTAAAGACCGATTGGTCCACATTGGGATTATTATGCTTGTTTTTTTATTTTTATTTCTGTGCTGTGTACAGCATTCAAAGCTGTAAATTATCAATAAAGTCCCTCTAAATACAGCTCTGTCAGTTGCAATTGCATCCTATTCTTCTAACACATTACTTAGAAATGTCTATGCTGCTATTTACATGATGGCTTAATCTAAGAGACTATAAAAGCCCAGCTGCTTCATCTCTTCTTAAAATAATAACAATAAAAGAATAATGTGATTAGAATTCTAAATATTAAGAATTTAAAAAGAATCTAAATATAATCTTTAAGTGATGGAAGCAGATTCTAGATCAGTGGACAAGTGAAGACACCCTGATATAATTCTGTAAATATTATACTGCATTATATTAGTATTACATTATGTACTGATTTATTGTACTGGATATTAAAGGCCCGTATACTATAAAGATATAGTTCTAAAATGATCCATATTTAAAAGAATAACTGTCCACCACAACTATAATGATAACGGCACAGAGAAGCGATATTGCTGAAATTACTTTCAGAACGAGTTTTAATAGTTTAAGACGACTTGTTTGAACAATTGACATGTATCCTGAAGAAGGCGGTGTAGCCGAAACGCGTAGATCTACTTTTAACTGTTTTTAACGATTTTGCCCAGTTGATTAAAAGCTTTATACTTCACCACGTGAGTGCCTTGGGAGTATTTCATCCTTATTTGATGTTTACCTCCAGTTTATCCAATAAATTAAATTGGCCACCAGTGGCTATGCAGAGACACCCGTGTAGCACTCTGCTTCTGTAGTTCGTAAGATGTTTCCATCTGATCAGAGTTATATAGAGAGATACATCTCTATATGGCTCTGCATCTGATGCACGATAAAAACATTGACAGCCAATCAGAATCCATCCTGCTCCGAAGAGCTCGAGCATTTAAAGCAACAGACAGGCGCTTAAACAGAATAATATCTTATTAGGTCCTCATTTGTCTACCGTAGTCGACTGAGTCACAGTAGTCTATTTTAGACTATTTGTGCATCCATCTCACTGAGAAAAGGTAAATTCCCTCAAAATGAAAAATCTGTCATTATTTACTCATGTCGCTTCAAACCTTTGACTTTATTTCTGAAATTAGCACATTGACCTCCATCATATGAAAAAAAAAATCTTAAACCAACCATAATTTAACGGCAGTAAATAAACAGACATCTTACACTTGCAACAACCAAAATGTTTATTGAATTAAATCATGAAATTCCATACAATATGCAAATGCGTCACAATAAGGAAGTTGATCACAATTTAATTTAATTTAATTTTGGATTGATGAGAGACAAAAAGCAATGCCAGGTTACACAGGGTGAGGAGAATTTTTTTTTTTTTTTTAAAGAACAAAAACAATCAAAAACCTTTGAAAGGAACACCCATGAAATCTTAACAGGAAGTGATTGACTGATTGCTTTGGACAGGAAATAGGAATTTATATGTATGAATATAGTCTAGACCCCAAGAATGATATGAAACCAGATCTCCAGTCCGCCACATAAGACCGCAAACAAGCTATCTACCAAACTCAATGAATAAAGGTGATAAGACGACTAAATCCCTGGAATGATTGGCTGCTGAATGGACACGTTTGTTAAATCCAGTTTGTCCATGCAGCAACTGTCAGCTAGAATAGTCTCTCAAATCCAGAATCCGGGACGATCTGGAGACCAGGATCATAAGTGCTAAATGTGTTAGCCTCAGTGAAGCGCACAAAATAGTTTGTCCCCAACAAAACGTTACAAGAATAAACCCAATTCTTACAGTTCATGCTTCACTCAACCGACCCCCCCCCCCCTCCCCCAAAAAGCACCCCATCTCTCTGATCTTGTTCCGATACTCTTTCATAGTTTCTTCTGCTGTCATCAGAACAGTCCAGACATATCTAAAATCAGTAACTTTAGTTTGACAGCTTCTAAGTTAAGTACTGTCTGTAATATATGCCAAGAAACCCAGTGAGAAAAAGCTACAGCAGAGTATTGGAACTGGACATGAACTCTTTCGGCCCTTTTTAGGGCTGTTGGCCGCCAAACTTGGAGCTGAGTTTGTTGATCAGGGCCATGATCTTTGGGTTGCCCTGGTACTTGGCGATGTTGGCGGGGTTCTGCGCCACATCCTGGAACGCTGCCATCACCTCTGGGTCCTGGAAAATGAGAATGCATTAATTTACCATCATGTAGAGATTACAGTCAGCTGAGATGCTCAGGAATGTCATATACAGGAGAGGTTATTATGGACATTTATGAATTCGATCCAATACTATATGGTTGCTAACTAGCCCAATTAACCCCAAGTATGAGCAAGTAATCGTGATTAACTACATTCAAATTCCCCAAAGTATGTTTTATACAAATAAGTTCATCAGATAAACAACCAGGTATCTTAAAGGGGTCATATAATGGTACATGCACTTTTTCAAGTTGATTGTACTGAAATGTGTGTTGGCAGTGTCTGTACACAACCATCATATAATGATAAAAATCCATCCAGTGTTTTTGTTTTAATCTCCTTATATGTTTTCCCCTGCCTCAAATAGAGCCGTTCGACCGTGTGACATCCCACGGTCGGACGCCCCTCCCGTGATTGTTGATTGACAGCTGGGTTTCAACACAGACCCGCCCTCGCTCGTGAGCCAGCTGTCAATCATAGTCTGCGCGGACCGGCGCGGTCATTGTTGATATGCTGGAGCACTGTCTATGAGCAGAATGGCGTCTAAGCGATTGTGGTGTTCTGTTCTTGGGTGTAATAACGAACCAACAGTCATTTTAATGTTCCTAAGTCCGAACCGCTGAAGACACAGTGGCTGAGTTTTGTTTTCGAAGGGAATATTCCCCACGAGCAACGTCAATGCTTTCATGTTTGCGCGAATCATTTCTCACCAGACTGCTTTATAAACGAGGGTCAGTATAAAGCTGGTTTTGCTAAGAAGCTGCTCCTGAATAAAGGATCGGTACCAGATATTAGTGTTCCTGCTGAACCTCTAGAACAACTGAAGTGAGTAACGTTTTATTAACCTTTATATTAATATTTATATCTTTGCAAATCGCTTGCACGCTTCACGATGAATGAGTCTAAGGTTTACACTCAGGGTACATTACGGCATGTTTTCCATGTACGACGTTCTCAATATAATTCATAATCCCACGTTTATAATGAACAACGCGTTATGGTTATTGTTACAAATGGTGTACACACAGAACAGAGAGGCGGGGTGAGCAAAGCTCATGATCATTTAAAGGCATATGCACTGAAACGGCGTGCTGAAAACAGAGCTGTTTTTGACCAGGTAAAATAACTGTTTTCTTACAATACTAATGATAATTTTTAATTAAAGTATATTACAAACTTTTAATTTAGACCCTAACGAATCATATTATCTTGTACAAAAATGGCATTATATGACCCCTTTAATAGTTACACTGAAGTAATCAATGTAAATGTATTAAAAGTGACCGCAATACAAATGAATCTTTTACTAAACAGTGAAAGAATCAAATGTACAATATTGTTCAAAAGTTTGAGATCAGTATGGTTTAATAATAAAATGAAATTAAAACTTTTTCCAGCAAGGATGTTATTAAACTAATCAAAAGTGACTTCTACATTTTTTTATATGTATTAATCAAAAACGTATCCAGAAAAAATATATAAAAAAAAACGTATCCGGATTACCACAAAAATATTAAGCAGCACAGCTGTTTTTAACATTGATAATAAGAAATGTTTCTTAATCATCAAATCATCATATTAGAATGATTTTGAAGGATCATGTGACACTGAAGACTGGAGTCATGATGCTGAAAATACAGCTTTGTCATTTCAGGAATAAACTAAATTTTAAAACATTCAAATGGAAAAGTTTTTAAATTGTAATACTATTTCACAATTTTACTCTATTCATGATCTAATAAATGCAGCCTTGTTGATCATAAGAGACTTTAAAAAAAAAAAAACATTTAAAAACAATCCTAACCAACTTTTGAATGGTAGTTCAACATTTGTGAACTAAAAATAAGCATAATTTGGTTAAGAACCATTTATATAGGCTTCCCAAAGGTTTTGAATAGTAAATGAAGGATCTTCCCAGTTATTTGAGATTAAATATCTAAAGATTATTCAAACAGATGCTAATGAATAATTCTTCACAATTAGCTGTGAATGAATAGTAATTCGTTAAGTGCTTCGACCAAATTATTGGAAAGAAAGATTCTCTCACAAACTGGATATTACTATGGTTTTATGAGCAGGTTTTTCTCTACATAAGAGCAATACCTAGCCAATCAAATATTTTACAGAAAAAATTATAAGTCACTATCAAACTTTCCATGACTTCTAAGATTTTATTGATTGAGAGCCTTGAAAAACTATTTTTAAATACCCTGATAATTAAAAGTTTTGTGGCACAATGATTATCTCAGAAACTTTATGACAAAAAGGTTGCAGACTCCTGCTGATAGCCCTATTCGGACGGGATTAGTTTAACATGGAGAAGTGGGGTAAAGTAATTATCATCAGAGCTTCTGAGTGTTTTTGGACCCGTCCGAATGTGCCATCTCAGTAATCATCACGGACAATGTCAGTAAAGATTACAGAGACTTTTACCTTCTGTAAAAAGTAGGGGTGTAACGGTTCACAAAATTCACGGTTCGGTTCGATACGATACACTTGTGTCACGGTTGGGTTCGGTACGATTCCGATACAGCAAAAAGAAAGAAATGCCAGAGAAATTTCCTTGATTTAATTTTTTTAATTATATTTTTATTCAAACTAACATCATAAAGTATGATATTTTTTAACTTTGAGCAATGATGGAGCTATACTTGACTTTTCTTAGGAGCATATAAAATAAAACAGCTCCTTGGACAAAATGAAATGTAATATTGTAGGCTAGTAGTTATAAACAAAGGTTTATTTTAGTTCAGATTAACATTTGAGGGCAGCAATTGTATTCATAATGTCAAAATAAAACCGACGTGATGTTACTTGAAAGCATTATAGCCTACTATTCCTGCCAAACTTCCATGGTTAGTTAGTAGAGTTACTACAGTAAATCCATGGTGAATGTTGCTGATCTGTGGACACTGGATAGTTCATTCATGGCACAATGTTTCTTCCTGGTTTCAGCGCTGTTTGATCCGTTAATAACGGAGAAATGTGAATGTTTATCACTAGATCTCGCAGCGATGTTATTACTTCAGTGGCGAATTCAAATGCTTTCTTTACTGGATTTCGCTGTGTAGTAACAGTGCTGATGATTAAGATCGGCTCGCGCTGCATTGGTCCAAACTGATAGACGGTCCGTCAACCACACAATAACGAGTGGTTTCGTTCCGCTTACATCACAACATTGCCCAACATCAAATGGCAAATGTAGTCACGCCAGCATCTCTTACATTATGAGCGCGCTCGCCACGTGTGACGCGCCTACATTTGAAATAACGAAATTTTGGTCGGCAGGAAAAATAGTCCAATCCAACGAACCGTTCGGTTCAAAAATGCGTACCGAAAACCGTACCGAACGGTTCAATACGAATACGTGTATCGTTACACCCCTAGTAAAAAGGTCTGGAAAAATTACCTCAGGTAATACTAATTGTTAATGACTTTATGTCGTTTGCTTTGAAAATAATATAGTGCTTAAAGGAGTCATAATGTGCAATTTTCACTTTTCCATGAGAATCAATGTATGTTATGATTGACTAACGATTATACATTGGCCGGGATGCCGATATTCAAAAGTGAAGCGTTTGTTTACCCCAGGGTTCTTAAACTAGCCAACGTGCACGCGCACTCAAATACGAGATTTCAATTTCTCCCCCGACTTGACGTCAAGACGGGGCCGGATATACCATATATGGACCCCGCAGAGGAGGCCCGCCCTGCCCCTCTCCCCATCATATTCAGTCAAGAAAGATGCAGAAACGTAGTGCACACGTGAGTTGCTCCGTGGTCGACTGTCATAATCCACATTCTAATGTTTTTTCTTTACCCAAAACTGACCAAACTACAAGGGACAAGTGGATGAAATTTATTTTTAATGACGCTGTTCATCAACCATCTCAACCATCTCATCATGTTTGACAACCATCTCAACTTGCTCAACGTTAGGTGTCTGCGCTAAACATTTCACAAAAGAATCTTTTACAAATTTGGGGCAATATCAGGCGAAGTTGGCATCGAAGCTACGTTTGGAAAAAGGTGCCATTCCAACAATCAGGGACTTGCCTGAATTTGAAACGGTAAGACTGTGTTTTTATTACTATATTTTGTGTAACAAACAGCAGCTAACTACTAATGCGGTTAATGTATGTGATAAGGATAGATAAATTTAAAAAACAGTCAAGAATTAATAAACATAAAGAAAAACATAACGTTACATGTCTGCAGATGAAAATTATTAAATATCTAAAAAACCACGTCAAAAAAGGCAAAAACAACACATTAAAGCAAACGTTAATCTCTATAACCACTGTAAACTGAAAATAAAGTAGACTACATCTCCGTTAATGTAATCTACATTAAATTAAAGCTAAACTTATGTGGGAGAAAATAGCAAAAAAAAAAACGTTTTAGCTCGTTACTGATGTTAATGTATGTCTCAGTCAAAAAAATTGTCTTTACCATTCAGAGACAATTTGATGTAGACGTCCTTCAATTGACTGTTGTTCCTCTTCCGTTTCCAGCTCTGGTTCAGAGTCTGGCTCAAACATGTACGGTTGAATCCCGTAGGTCGCGGCCAGGTCGGGTTCATTAACAACTTGCGCCATGATCTCTTTTTGGAATGATATGCTGAAGTTACCTGCGGTGTCAAGCCCCCTCCTTCCTGCCACCAATCAACGCGCCCCTCATTTGCATTATTAAAATGACCGTCCACGACAGCCAAAACCTCGCATCAGATCTCGCGAGACAATAATGCATTCAGAAATAAGGGTCAAACGAGCTCTGTGTTTATTTTTTTCCAATTTTTCTTTTTTAGAAGGGCATGAAATGACTATAATAGAGCGTGGGTATCAAAGTTAATACTACATTATGACTCCTTTAAATGATTTATTTTTGTATGGTATTTAATTGTTTTGATTTTGAGTTATTTGTGTTGTGGTAACGGAGGTCTTTTATTTTGAAGTTCATTCACGTGAGCGGATATAATGCGCATATGGTCCAAACATTTCAGTATGAATGAGATCCAGGCGTACATGGTTATGGAATCGAAAGCTTACGGTTTGCAAGGAATTTAAAAGGATTTAGCTCCTGGTTTGAATGGAGAACAAGGTATGATTATAGACTTCCTGTTATCTCTATGTCCTTGTTTTGATTTATTTAATTTTTATTAAGATTACTTATTGGTTGTGGTTTTGTATAATGTCTAAGTCATTAATCTTACTTATTTGGTTTTGATGGATGTTTATTTATTTTCGGTATTTTGTTTTCTTTTTGTACAAGCTTTTACATTGATTCTCAACGAACAATGGTGTCCGACGGTGCCTTTATCTGTGATGATGGACCTTCAAATAAAGTGTGGGAATCATCAGTCAAAGAGTCCAATCTTTCTTGAACCAGGCAGCTACACTTATCCCAAGCGAATAGACTCGCTGTAAATATGTACGTAAATATTCCAATATGCTTAAAAGTAGTTTCGCTAGTAAGGAGACGCTTGAAAAAGCATTCAGCTGCGTTCTAGGTGGTGGGACAAGTCTGTGGCAAAACTCAAATGTTTTCCACACACCATTCAGATCAAAAAGAAGGTCGAAAGCACTTGTTAGAGGCACGAAACTTCTTTTAGCGTTAGGTAAGTGCCTATTACCAACATAATCCAATCTGAATTTTATTAATACATGTTCGACCGGACCTAACTGTTTTATATATATATATAAATATAGGTTAATTGTGTTTGCGCACATGATATCAGGAAGCAACGTAATATACACATGATGACAGGAGGGTGATGGCGGTGCGTAAATCGAGTTACCCCTCCCACTTCTTCTGATTTCTTATGTGCGAATTGGCCATTATTATTATTACAGACGTCCTGTGGTAAAATTACATTACTCCATCTACTCTTGTAAAGCTAATCCCATCCAAATAGTGCTTATCAGCAATTTGTGGTCTATTTTACCTGCATGGCCATGAGAACCTCAGGGTCATTAAATAGCTCATTAAGTCCAGGCATTCCAAACGGAGGAGCTCCACCTGGGAAACCAGCACCTCCTGAAGGATCAGAACAAATGTCAACATCAGAGACGGTCCGATGTGCTGCACTCTGCTTTACATATTACCTTAATCTGTTATATCTTTTCATTTTGGAATAAATCATTATTTTAGTAGTGCGCTATTCTGAATAAAACAGGTTTATTATATACATAAATAATTTAATGGAAGATACCTGGGAATCCTGGGAATCCTCCATGTGCCCCTCCGGCCTCTTGTCTGGCTTCCCCTTCCTGCACACAGACGCACATTACAGTTTGTCTCAATTGTTTACACACAAATACTGGTACTTGAGACACAATGACCACAACATGTAACTCATGCACCAACCCCCTGAACCAATTCTGCTAAACTACAAGCACAATTCCTGCTTTACACTCAAATTGCTGTTCTAAAACGCACTTTTTTCAAAACACTACACACAATTCTCTGCATTTGGCACAATTTTCATGCAGAAAGTCTCTTGTTTTTACAAGGAACACACTGCCAATCAAATATGCACACTGACTCATCACATGGGCAAACACCTGTCACACACTTTTACAATTAGCAATCAGGGCTTTAGCATAAAAGACCGAAACAGAAGAGAGGCTGCAGCATAGTTTTTTTTTTTGTTTTTTTTTACTGTAACTGTATACATTAAATTCTTCTGTTGTTTTATATGTAGACCACTGTATGTGCAACTTTGTTTTTGTTGGAAAAATAAACATTTGTTACGGTCTATTTGTCTGAGTATAAAAACAATATTCTCAAATATTTTACAACACATTTAGGCATGTACTGTGTAGTAAGTGTAACACTGAACAACAAAAAGGCCCAAGTCATTATGATGAATGGAGAAGAAGTGTTTTCCATTCATCATAGTGTTTTACATTGAGCACATCAGTGTTCAACTGGTTCTTATAAATGTCTATTCATATGATGGTTTGTGTGTGTCATTTGAAAACAAAATACCATTTTGAGAAGAAATAACTGTTTTGAATGTAAAGTTTCATTTTGCAGGAGAATTGAGGGGTTTTGCCCATTGTGTGTGTGTTTTTTTGGTTTGTGTGTAGAGTTCTGAGAGTATGAGGCATGCTTTCAGAAAATGTGTGTAAACAATCGAGAAAAACTGTAACAGGACCAACTCTGCAGGAAATGATGATTCAGTGGCCTGATGCAAATCAATTCATTTCTTACCTTCTGTGCTCTGTCATGCTCCTCCCTCGCTTTCTTCACTCGTTCTTGCCGCGTTCTGATCTCCCGTTCCTCTCGCTTGCGTTCATATTTGCGCCGGTGCTCAATGAGTTTGTTGGCCTGTGAGAGATCAAATGAAAAACTGAAATATTTAGCCTTTTTTTTTTAAAGAAAATAATTACTATTACTTACAGTACATCAATGATTTGAGTAATAGTAATATGCTTTTAAATAAATAAATACTATTGTTTGTGTCCAGATCTATTAATTCTTATATATATATATATATATATATATTAGGGCTGATTAAAAAAATTAATCTAATTAATTAGAGGCTTTGTAATTAATTAATCGAAATTAATCGCATTTTAATCGCATACATATTTGACCTAAGAACTGTGAGAAGTAATTTTTTTCACATGGATTTTTAGTATACCATTGAATAATGACTGCATACATAAGCTTAAGCAACAAAATATTGTTTATTTTTGTTCAACCAAGTCCAGCAGACCAGTGCAATTTTTACCATTAAGTGTAGAAATAGCATACTGCAACAAAATAGCATATTGCTACACTACACTAATAGCACTACACTAATAGCCATAATAGCCATTAAGTGTAGCAATAGCATATTGCAACAAAATAGCATATTGCTACACTACACTAATAGCAATAGCGAATTCCTTGTTGCATAGCTTGCACACAACCATGCTCTTATCGACGCGTCCATCCGTTCGTTTTTTGTAACAACATTTCCCAGCCACCGGCCAACCAAAGCGATCTCGTCAGCTTCTTCGTCATGAACATGGTCATGAACCATAGACAGTATAAGAAGTGGACAGAGCCATCTCATTGGAACTCAGTTGAGACAGTTGAAGCCCATTTTTAGCGATTTTTGAGCACTTCCGTTCCTGACGCGCAGACTCAAACCGACTCAAACTAAGCTTGATGACGTGAGCAACCTGTCTGACAGACGTTAATCTTCTAGTAGCTGTGCGTGAAAATAGCCAACGTTAATCTTGCAGAGACGGGGAACTTGAGCAAAGAGTTCTTTGGCGGGAGTGAGCAGGAGTAAGTATTCCGTTGCTTTTATGGACTCATTATCTATGGGCTTCTATCTTGACGGGACGTCCCCCCGATTGCCTGCGAGCTTCTCCTGCTGTCTGTACGGTAATTTCTGTACAGCGCGACAGAGAGTCGAGTGGTTATGACGCAATCGTTAGCCTATTTTTACTAAATCTGTTTCTACGGGGCCATAATGTAACATAGAAGGTAATGGAGCCCTTTATACATTGTTGTGTTTCTTTAGAAATAAACAATGGACAAATGGAGTCTTTAAACGCCTCAGATGTAAAGTTATTCGCTGTCAAAGTGACGCCAAAATGAATGGGAGTCAATGGAAATGCTAACCCAAGTGAAGTTCTGCTACAACATGGCGGCACCCGGCCGGCTTCAACTTCCGGTCGATGGATTACCCCCTTGTCATGAACGCTAGTGGGTGCGCCAGTATAATCGGTCCGCCGAAACTCATCCAGTGAGAAACGTTCCGCGGTGCAAAAATAAGTGCGATTAAAAATAATGTTTTGTGTAATTAATTAATCTTAATTAACGCGTTAAAGTCCCGGCCCTAATATATATATATATAAAAAAAAATTATTACAGAAAAATATATCCAACATGTAGGAAGCCCTTTTTAATTTTTTTTGTCATGTGACAAAAGAAAAATTTCAATTCTGTCATTAATTATCCACCCTCATGTCGTGCTAAACCTGTAATACTTTCGTTCATCTTCAGAACACAAATGAAGATCTTTTTGATGAAATCTGATATCTTTCCATTCCTCCATTGACCGCTTACGCAACTACCACTTTCAAACCCCAGAAAAGTAGAATAACACATCATAAAACATCCATGTGACTCAAGAGGTTTAACCTTAATTTTATTTAGTTTGCACAAAAAAAGCACAATTGATCATTTTCAAAATATTAATCTCCGAGAGCACCACGACGCATGCGTGTTGTGTTGACGCGGGAGTGGATGTTGTTGGAGATTAATACTTTGTAAATTAAGTGGTAAATTATGCTTTTTTTGTGCAAACAAATTAAAATTTAGTTTAAAGCACTCGAGTCACATGGATTACTTTCATGATGTCTTTACTACCTTTCTGGGGCTTGAAAGTGGTAGTTGCTTAAAGGGACACTTCAACCATTTGCATTAAGCTTTGTATCTTTAGAAACCCAGTCATATTTTTGAATGGTCATGGTTTATTCTCTTATTTCCCCCTGAGATGGGAGAAATAAGGATTTAAGTGTTCCACTTCCTGCTTTATATGATGTAAAAATCGTCATTTTGCGTCATAAAAAGCAGGAAGTCCCATTTCTTTGTATAAGGGTTGAGACTACAAACACTAGCTCATCATTTATTCAGGGTGTGGGACCCACTCACGCTACAGCCCTATTACAGATCAGTGGGTGGGACTTCACTTGCAGATACAAAAAAGCAATATCAGCCATCTTGTTTGGAAGCTCAGCTAACAAGCGCTGTGGAGATAGGAAGTAACGACAATGGCGGAAGAAGCTAAACATGATATGGAAGAAGAGGATTTTGAAATTCTGCTGCTCGAATCTGATGTGCGTGGCTATCTTTACGAGCCGCAATATAGTGAAGAGCAGCTGAGGCTGATGGAGGAACAGGAGGCGGACGAGGAGCCCGGACTGGCTCGAGCTGGGCGGACTGCTGGTGCCTGTGCTCTCGCTGTGTGCTACGGACACAGATAGAGTCCGTCTGCTGCAGAGAATTTCAACGATGGCAATTTCTCCTGGACGAAATCTCTGAATCAGACGAGCACACGGACGTTTGTGTTGTGATGTGAACCATCCTAGTTTCGCTTGACTAAACAACCCGGTATCATGCAATAATTTACCATATAGAAAGAAATACAAACGAGGAGTAATTCACTAATGGGTTTGCCAATGTAACGGGGTTCGTTGTTGTGGGAAGGAGGCGGGAACCGGCGAACATTTAAACATTTTAATAGTAAAATAAACAAATACAAAACAAAAGTATAAGCCAGCAGCCCCTCGCGGACGACTGCTGGCCACACACAACAGAAACAAAACACAACAAAATCAGGCCTGTTCCTCTCTCGATCTGCCCTGTCGTCGCTCCTCCTTTTATGCTTCCGCTCCTCCGTGAGAGATGCGAGCCCGGCGCGTCTCACAGGTGTCGTTCATTATCACTCACGCCACCGGCCTCGCGCCGTCCTCTCACGTCCCTCGCCCTGCTCGCCACAGCCAACTAACTAGAAATTTTTTGTGAAATGAATTTCTAACTCTGGTGGCAGCTAGTCTTGTAGACGGAAGAGTGATTTCTCTGATGTTTGCGCTGTTCTAGATTAGTGGGAGTGGCTTGCGGAGCTGTGCAATGTGGTGCATTGTGGGAGTTGTTGTCTTACATACAAATGCGCCCTATAGTAGTCTTTTCTCGGTCAAGAGGGCACCAAATTCAAAAATTCTTTTACATTTCGACTACATATATGACCCACTTTCAATAAAGATTAATGTTGAAATGGGTGAAGTGCTCCTTTAAGCTGTCAATGGAGGGCGAGAAAGCTCTAAGATTTAATCAAAAACATCTTCATTTGTGTTTCAAAGATAAACGAAAGCAGCCTGGATGCCAGCCGAACTTAGCCCCGCCCACAACATTAGAGATCGGGAAGTTCGGTCTGGACTTGATCCGTTGTGGAGCAACTATGCTCGAACCAGAGCTGTTTCGACCAATCAAATTGTCAGGGCGGGCTTATTACGATGACGGACAGATGATCAATAGTAACGTAATCATCCACGTCACCAAAGAGTGCGTGGGTTCAATTCATTTACAACAAAGAATGGCTGCCGCTGGAGAATTGAGATGTGTAGGTTCCACTATCGCGTCTGTTATAGAGATATCGACAGCGCATTCATTTTAAAAGAGGAACAGAGAACCGCGATCAAGGCATTTGCTGATCGGAAAGATGTTTTTACCGTCCTTCCCACGGGATTCAACATACAACATACAACATACATCTATCCAATTGAGTGCAGAGGCATTTTCTTTCCTGGTTCGGGTAAAACGCCCCATAATCACAGCCCAATGGAGCAGTATCAGACTCATATTCTAACTAGAATTTGAGTATGACGACGTCAGGCAAGAACGAAAGTCTTACAGGTTTGGAACGACATGAGAAGCTGTCTGAAAAACTGTGGAAGCTGTCTGAAAGAGATGTGCAGGTACTAACCCAGATTGTCTCCAAAACAACAAAACCACAGCTGCCCAACTCACTGCAGAATTAAATGTGCACCTCGACTCTCCCGTTTCCACCAAAACTGTTTGGTCGGGAGCTTCAGAGTCAATATTAATGGTCAGGCTGCTATAGCCAAACCTTTGGTCACACATGCCAATGCCAAACGTCCGTTTCATTGGTGCCAACAGGGCAAATCTTGGACTTGGGCTGTGGACAATGTGAAACATGTATTGTTCAACTTCTCTGTCTTTCCCACAACCGTGGGAGTTAAGGTGTGGAAAAGCTTAACACCCAGTCTGTTGCTGCCCAGAGTGAAGAACGGGGTGGATCAGGGTCAGTGATGGTTTGGGCTGCGATATCATGGCATTCCCTACTGTGCTTGATGGACGCATCACTGACAAAGACTGCCGAAAGATTCTGGAGGACCGTGTGCACCAAATGCTTCAAACACTGTACCGTGAAGGGGGTGCCGTGTATCAGCATAATAATGCACCAACACACACAGCAAGACTTGTGACAAAGGTTTGATGAACATGAAAGTGAAGTTGAACATCTTCCTTGGCCTGGACAGTCACCAGATCTAAATATTTTGAGCCACATTGGGGTGTTTTGGAGGAGAAAATGTTTTCCTACAGCATCACATAGTGACCTGGCCACTGTTCTGCAAGAGGAATGGCTCAAAATCTTTCTGGCCACTGTGAAGGAATTGTATCTACCATTCCCAAGATGAATTCGCCTTTGGCTAAGCCACACCCTAGAACGTAGATTGACCAATCACAGCGCAGCCAAGAACGTGCTCCCACAGAGGTCCGACACTTTTTCACAGCGCTCCATTGACTTTAACACAGGCGTCTCATATTTTTGGTCTCGGCAGGCTATTACCGTCGTAGTTTTATCAAAAATATGGTTAAACGTTGTGCCTGGGGCATTTGTAACACAGATACGCGTTTCCCAGAGAGGTTGGAGGGGGGTGTCCGTTTTTTTCCCTTCCCAAACCGAAGTCAAATCCTGAAGTGTCGTCTAGCACACGCTGCTAATAAATACAACGTTATACTCGCGTAGTCCGTTCGCTTTGTAATAACGATTATAGAAGTGAATAGAGACCTACCCAGCTTTGCATGAACAGTGTTGCTGCTTGATATTGTTAGTCCCAGCCTCCGTCTCGATTAGTAGGATAAGCGGTGGTTCATTTTTTTACTGTGACCGGTATAGGGGTGTAAATCGGACAGTAAATCACGATACGATACGATATCGATTCTCTCAGCCAGCGATACGATATTTGCCGATACCTCAAAAAATTCTACGATTCGATTACGATTCGATTCGATTCAGGGCTATATCGATCGATTAATCGATATTTAGATATTATGTGCTAAGTGTACACAACCGGTTACGTTTATTAACTCACAATACATCCAAATATATATAACATGAAAGTTTAATTAAACTCTTTGAAAATTGCACACCCTCTCCCAATTGGGACATTTACAAGTAGTTTGTTACAAGTAAAAAAAAAAAGATCTATGAAAATGAACAAGAACGCAGTTATCTGTTTTTGCAAATGAACTCTTCTGTTATATTAAAGTTCATTGAAAGGATTTATATATTTTATATATATATATTTGTATGGCAAAAGCATAACTCCACATTTCATGTTTCAGAGTTAAACAAAGCCAAGTATTTGCTATGATACATAATAAAACACTTGGTTAATCTTTGTAACACCAATCTCCTCAGCTGATATAGACGCCTGTCAAACTTTGTTGTTGTGATTAACGTACACGCAATACAGAGAGCCTTTCACTTACCACTAAACGTGCTGTTTTAGCAAGATTCCGTGACAAAGTTTCAGCTTTTATTTTACTTTTACGCCCCGAAGAAGATATCACGAGTACATCAAGTTCGCTGAAATCCATCCTCGATCACTTTTAGTCAGCTTGACGAAACTCCTCTCAGCTAGCGCGTCTTTTCAAAGTGACAAGCAGCCTTGTCACCTGACCTGAATACTGCGCACTGATTTGCTAAAACAAACTTTTCGGGGCTTGTTGTTTCTGCTGTGAACTCGCGATGACATGAACTCGCGATGACAGTGGAAAATACTGGCTTTTGTGACAAAGGGTTCAGTCAATCTTGTCAGGCGTCTATTTCAGCGGAGAAAGTTTACGTGAGGATGTGGAGCGTGTCAAAATAAAGGTACCGTATATCGATATTTTATGTGTGGTATCGATGCATCGTATCGTTAGACGTTTGATCGATGCATCGATCCATATCGATGTATTGTTACACCCCTAGACCGGTATGCTTTTGCCTCTATTTGGATGCCTTGTTGTTCCTTGCGTTTCACCTGTATGTCAGGGTTCTCAAGTCTCACGCATTGGCCGTGAGACACTCGCAATTCAACCAGTTCACACGCTCACACGCCACACCGTGTATTTCTCACGCTGAAAAGGCAATGCCAACCAAGTTGTCCTGCAAGCTTTATATATAACGTTGTATACGAGGCGCATGCACACAAAGATAAGTTTCCTGCCGCCAGCGCGTGCGCATCTCGGCCAGATTGCGTTCGTTACTAGGCAACTTATAGACGCGCGAAGTCCGCGAACACACACGGAAGTTCGGCCACCGGCCGCGACATCGCGCGAACACACGTCGTGATGGAGAAAGTAAGTTGGAAGAAAGCTCGACTAACATTTTTAGACTAGAAATTCTAGAACATTTAATATATAGCCCATCGTATACATTATTGATGCAGTCAAAAACTCTACAACTGCTTTGCAACCAGGCCAAAAGCTTTGGCTCAGTTTAGCTAAGGAAATGTTATTGGGTATGGGAAGGAATGAAGATGTATTTCTTCAGTTTATTTTAAATTCTATATTATACTGTATTAATAGTATTTCTAGTTAGCAGAGTGCTCTTGGTAATATTGTATATCCTGTCAAAACATACATTAGCCTAATCATTGCCATTGCATTTGTATTTTTCAAAGATGTCAGGGAAAAATGCAAAAATATTTGTTTTTCCAAACATTTTGGAGCAATTTGTTATATATTTGTAGCCTAATTTTGAAATATAACATTAAAGAGTAGGTCTATATTTGATGTGATGAATTGCTCTGTCATTTATCAGATTTACCAATTGTTATAATTTCAATTTTTGCTGGTTAATTATGAACAATGGGTAAAATTGGGGGCGGGGCTAGGCGGGGGCGGGGCTCCATTTAGGCTCCTCCCCTAACCGCATGTGATCTCACTCCAAGCTTTTGATAAAACTTGAGAACCCTGGTATGTTGTGAATATAGCCTTCGAACGTGTATTGCAGCCCCTTTTGCCTACTTCTATCGAACACTTTATTTGCTGCTTTATAAAAGTTTGATAAAACTTCAGCAGGAAGAGCTGTCACAGCATAAGCCATGTTGATACCAGAGCCCAGATGAAGTTTGTTTGTCGGACGTAGCAACAGTAACTAAGGGGGGTGGGGCTTAGCCAAAGGCGAATTGATGCCGATTAGCCGCAAAAGGAGGCTCTAGACTACACCATACTAATAAATGATTGTGGTCGAAAACCATTCTTTCTAGTTATGTAAAGGTCTAAAATATTTTATCTGGTAGAAATTGGGGTTGGGGGTTAGCCTTCAAATATTGTTGTGGACAATGGGTGGGGCCTAAAATCAAATGATAGAGGGTTCTCTGGATGGTCAATTATTCCCCCCATTAATTATCCCCCCAAAATAATCACACCAGCTCAGATGTTGTTGAGGAAGAGTCATAAACAAGAGTTCAGCACAGATACCTTTGGTTGGACTTCTTTCAGCATGGCACTGGCCTCGTCATCATAATCCAGCTTACAGGCCATCGCCAGGTCTCGAGCGGCTTCCTCCCAATGGCCAAGCAACCTGTGAGAACGAGAGATCTTCATCAACAGGAAAACACTGAGCACAACACATGTGAAGTGTCAAGCCAGAAACGTCATCTCTTCATTTAGTCTGCAGTCTGCTACCTGTGCGCCTTCCCCCTCCATTTATAAGGCTGGGCTGAGTCTGGGTTGATGTCGATGGCTCTGTCACAGTCTCTGATGGCAGCGTTGGGTTTCTGCATCTTCACATAAACACTGCAAGACACAAACAGATTCAGGCAATCAGCACCGCAGCCAATCAGAAAACAGGTCGGTAAAAAACAAAGCAGGGATTGATTAATACCTGGCTCTTTTGGCGTACAAAATGGCCAATTTTGGGTTGAGTTTGATGGCCTCTGTGAAGATGTCTAGAGCTTTCTGTAGGTCACCTGAAAAATTGGTAGGTTTTGTTGAACCCCATGATTTTATCATGAATTATTACCACAACTAAGGAAACGTAAACTATGATTACATTGTTACAATTTTAAGTAAGAGGCAGCTCACCATCTCCCAACGCTTCAATGGCTTCCACCTTCTTCTCATTGGCCTGGTCCATCATCTCATCTGTGATCTGAGATTAAAGGAAGTGGATCCATCATCCCATTTGTATAATTTCACTTTATACTAAGAGCAAGATTTAAGACTTTAACAAACTTTGATCACAACCAGATACAGTAAATTCTCTGTCATGCAACTTTGCTGACAATAAAGAATTGTGCTAGACACACAGATGCTTGTACGTTCTCATTTGTAAGTCACTTTGGATAAAAGCGTCTGCTAAATTATTAAATGTACAAAGTAACAGATTACAAATTATACATTTCAAATGGTTTAAATTATTAATTTCATGTTTCGACATTTTGACTTTTTATTGTACATTGGACTATGTTTGGACTTTTTACTATTGTTTGTGATATTGTTTTTGCAATTTTTACACTTGCATGACTGTATTCATTCAAAATATTAAAATTGTATATCTAATATCACTATTACCTCCTCCCTCAGATTGTTTTTCAGAAACAAGGGAAAAAAGGAAGATGCCACAAATAATTCAGCGATTGCTTGAAATTTGCATTCATTGTTGCAATTGCAAGATCGCAAAATCGTGGATAAAAAAACTATTATCTCAAAGGATAATGAAAATTGTATTGCTCCTTTATTGCTACAAATAATGCATTTACCTCCAGGTTCTCGTAATCACCCATCTCCTGAGGATCATCTGTGTCAGGCTCAATCACTCCTTCATTGTCAATTTCTGGAGAAATTAATGCCAGTTCATGTTCACATAACAGCATAATATAACAATAAGAAACAGTTGTTACAAAATAAGAGCATATCTCCACTCTGAGCTGAGTTTTTAAACATTTATGATGCAAGCCCTGATAATGATTATGATGATGTTTTGCTTGTATATAGAGCTGTCACTGTAATACTTTTGAGCTCTAAAACATCACTGTCCTTCCACTGACTACCTTTCGAAACTGTCCTGATAACGTCGGGTATGTAAAATCTTTGAATTGACTCCCATGAGCGCAGATTTGTGACGAATGTTGCTCTAGAGTGACGTAAAAGTCGCATAAATTCCGATTTGACTGTTCAGACTGAGGTCGCATTGCAAAACATCTGACCTGTATCGGATTTAGTACCACATATGGAAGTGAAGCCAAATCAGAATTGAAAAGATCAGATTCCATGTGGTTTGTGCTGTTCACACTGTCATGACAAAAACAGATCTGAGTCACATGTGAGCAAAAATAATAATAATTCGGTTTTAGACCACATTTACCAGCAGTCTGAACGTAGCCACAAAGACTGCAACCGCACACGCATTAAATCTACATCAGGTAGACAAAACTATGCAGATTTGTTCAAATCATACCATATGCTATTCAGACACTTAAATTAAAATAAATTAAAAGAACATATAGCCAAATGAGCCTTTACTGCCATATAATATCAGGGATATTTTAGCGGATTCACTCTGCGTTAAAATGTGATTGTCTTTCCTGAAACTCTGCAGTGTAACCTATATGTGGCCGTTGATCCTCTTAGCAGCAAGAAAGATACAACTTTGATTAAAAATGCAGATATATTATATACAGAAAGCCTTTGATGTTCTTTAGACTGAAGAGCATGAACACAAATAAGAACAGACCGTGTGAAAGCAGCTGCCTATCAGTGAGTACCGAATTGAGTCGAGATAGCCTCTTGGCTACAGGACTCGCAGTCCGCTCGTGCCTACTGATTCCCGACCCGCAAATGACCACGTAAATATTATTCCACCTGTTACATCAAATATTATTAGTGGTTATTAAAACATTACCTGTGCAGACAAAAGATTTCAGTCTCTAAAGCAATATTGACTTTGATGTAGCTTTAAATGTTCATTTTAGAGCCTGGATATTAACTTCACATCAAACTCTGTTAGCATTTCATTGTCTACTAATTGAGTAGTAGTTTGAATATCAAAAAACGCTGCCATAGAGTGAGAAATCGTAAGACGGGTGAGATCAGCTATTGCTGGAAAAAGTGTAGAGCTACTACCAAGCCATTGTAAAGGCCAGAGCGAGCATATGAGAAGCAAACAAAAGATATTAAAGGAGATATTAGAGTCAACATACCCACTTCACTCTCTTCAGTCTCAGATGCCGGGGTAGTTTCGGATTCTGAAGCTGCTTTGGGAGCCCCATCACATGGACAGCTTCCCTACAAGCAAATGAAAACACAAACAAGGCAATATTTTAGTAAACATATGTATTTATTTGAAGGTGGGTAATAATGCCAGTTAATTTTCTATTAATTTCCTTTACCTTGCATGATGAGCTGTCATTCTTTGCTGATAATGGTACGTTTGCTCCCATTCTATAAAGTAACATATTTTCATTTTATAATCGTCATACGGGTTCCATTGAAAAGGGATTAATCTGGAACTTTCTGAGAGCCACATGTCATGCATTATATGGGTGTGACTGCTAGCATAAGCACTCAACTTAGGCATGGAAACATACATTATTACACAATATGTATTTCGTATTTTATCATTTATATAACATTTGTAATCACTGCTAAAAGCACACAACTATAAACAACACAAAAACAACTGAGGCCCATTATTCACTGACCCCTTCAGCCAGGTCTTAAAGAAGCCCATCTCTGGCAGATGCAGCACAGATGGATTCTCTTTGCACAGCTGCACAAAGGCCTTTAACTCCGACACTTTCTGTGAGTCCATATTCCACAACAGGAATCCAACTCAAGCAGAGAAAACAATGTGCTGGAAAACAAGGAAGCGTGCATTATTATTCCCGGCAAATATGACGTGTCTGATCAGCACCCTAGCTTAATAAATGATGCATAGTACCGAAGCCAAAACCCTAAAGGAATTGTCCAATGCAACAGTGCGTTAAATGACCAGTAATTAGTGGTGCACAGACAGGATTAACGCACGCGCTGCATAGAAGATTCTGGAAATAACGCGGGAGGAAGCGCAATTTGTTAAATAAGCGTGGTATTTTGATCGTTCTTTTATTCAACTGTCTCAATACATGTTAATTAAAAAATAAATTAACATTGATGCTTTACCTGAAAGAGCTAAGTCCCTTAAACGCTCTTCCCCGGCAGCGAATTGATGGTCGCGAGATTGAACTCGCTCTGCACGCGCGAGTCAGTGAACGCGAGACTGTGAATTTTGCGCAGGCGCGAACTCGCTACTTCATGCTTTGCGTTCATTTTGGAGTAAAATACGAAACATGTTCAAGATTTAATAATAATAATAATTATTATTAACTAGTATTATAATTAAATAATAATTAGTATATAATTAATTAACTAAAATATAATTAGTTTTAGTTATTTATATAATATATTTGGCTAAACTTTATATACATTTTCTAATCGTAAATCCAACTTCTTTGTTTTACTGGGTGAAACCAGACAGTAATTGACAGTATTAGAGAATATATATATAAAAAAAAAAACATCAAATCCCTTTAATTTAGCTTTTTAATGTTTTTTCTTCTTTCTCTTTGTTGTTACTTTTATAGTTGTATAATGTTGTTCGCTGGGTAATAAAGAAAAGAAAGACATATTTCTCAGATATGTTTGTCTTCACATCAAAAATTATGTCTTTTTCAGAAAAAATACACCCCATATATATTGAATCACAATTTAGAATTTCCATTTAAGATTATTTAATATATATATATTATTATTGTTTGGTCCATAAATCTATATTTGGGGAGGGTAATTTATTTTCTTTTATTCTAAAACTAAATTACAACAAAGCAACAATAAACGTACAACAAAATAAAGAACAAAAATGTGACATTTGTAACCATGTTATGTTTGTTTCCTAATATAACACAATTAACACTGGAATGCTATCAAAAATATACAGAAACTAGAAGGGTGAAGGGTCCTCTTTCATTCAGAGTCGCAGATTTTAACTGTCATAACAGATTTGTCCAATCAGAGCGCCTGAGCCGCTCCCAATCCACCAATAGGAGCTCTGACTGAGTCTTCCATGATGGCACAGTCTGTGACACTGTCACCTTCTACGCGATAATGATTACATGTGTATGAGTAAATGTAAAAAAGAGTTACATGTGCACTGTTTCTTCAGTATGTTACCTTTAGGTTAAAAATCTGACATCTTTTCTGTACATGTATTTTTAATACACACGGTTGTGCGAACGTGTTCTACCTCATGGTGAAAGTTGTTAGATCAGTTGAGCTGAGCAGGAATCTATACAATGCTGTATTCCAGAAGCGGGACTCTGAGAGCCGCCGTCCAGTGTCTTACTCGCTCTCTCTGGAGTCCAGGTAAAGCATTACACTTACACGCACTTGACTGCAGGTCTGTCATTCATTGCAATGTGCTGTTTTAACTCTTAGCTGGGTGGTGATAACATGGCAGTAACATTGCTGCTGTGTGTGAAGTCAGTCATTCATTGTGCAGAAGTCTTTTCTGTTTTCTTTCTCCACGTAAACCCAAATTAATGTGTTTATGAATAGGCACAAAATAATAAATTACATTGAAAATCACCACCTTGACCTCATCGTTTATATGATGCAATTGAATCTTTATAAAGATTCTGTAGTGCACTTTAACAGAAGATCTTTCATTAGCAGTTAAAGTTAAAAAACAAAATTGTGTGTGTTTCAAAGTCAGTAAATATCAAAGTTGACCCAATTGTCTTAATGTTAACTGGCATAATTGTGAACAATATAAATCAGTGCATGTTATTCCAAAGAAAACAAGAGTTTGTAAAGCTTTTATAAAAGTAAAAGTTGCTTGACCTCTGCTCTGAAACAACTTTCATTTTTTGACTGATGTTGATGTTCCTTTGAAGGTCATACATTTCTCTTATTTTTTAACACATCAGCTGTCATATAGAGAAATCCCTTCACTATCAAATATATTCCAAATGGATAAAATTAGTTTATCCATTAACAAAATCAATTTATTTCACTCAGATAAACAAATGCATTAAATTGATTGATCAAAAGTGACAGTTAATATTTTTACATCGTTTTTATTTTATTTTTTTTATTTCAAATAAATGCTGTTTGTTTGAAATTTCATCCTAATCTTGAAGAAATGTATCACGGTTTCCACAAAAATATTAAGCAGCACAACTACTTTCAACATTGATGTTAATAAGAATTTTTTTGGAGCATCAAATCATCATATTAGAATGATTTCTGAAGGATCATGTGAAACTGAAAACTGAGTAATGATGCTGAAAATTCAGCTTTGATCACAGGAATAAATTATATTTTAAAATATAGTAAAATGCTTCACAGCATTACTGTTTTTACTGTGTTTGTGATCAAATATATGCAATCTTGGTGAGTATAAGAGACTTCTTTCATAAAGAAAAAATTTACTGACCCCAAAATTTTGAACAGATTACAGACGTAATGCAAACTGTGTTTTTTGTTGTACAGGGTCTGTGTGGTGTTCATGCAGGAATGTGTCTGTGAAAACAGGGGGATGGAAAACCAAGAAAGTTCCTCAGAGATACCTGGGACAGCCAAGCCCGTACACGCACCCTCACCTCATCAAACACGGTGAGAGAAACCAAGATTGCTCTCCATTTCAGCTCTTTTTTTAATTTGAGGTCAGTATAAAACTGACCCTTATGACTTTCTTAATGTTTGTTCCAGGTCTCATCATGAATGATTATCTTTACACTTTATTAAAAAAAAAAATGTCTGTGTAATCTTGCTCCGCCTCTGAAATTTTTGGCTGATGTCCATTAGGCCATGCAGGGAATCGATCTAGAGAGTTAAATAGCTATTTATCCCTTGTTTATAGGTTGTTTTTAGACCCTTTTTATTGTTGTAAGTAACAGCCTTTACAAATCTTGTAATTTAATGTAGATTAACAATAATATAATGATATGTAATGCCTATTTTCACTTTCCAATTAATTCCCAATTAATCAAATACAATTCCCATCTAACAAATTGCTTTTGTCATTGAATATTCTGTTTCACTTAGAAATACACTACTGATAAAAAGTTTAGGGTCAGTAAGATTTTTTTATGCTTTTGAAAAAAATCACTTGACCTCATTTGATCGCAAGTACAGTAATATTGTGAAATATCATTGCAGTTTAAAATAACTGTTTTCTGTCCAAATATATTTTAAATGTAATTTATCTCATTGATGGCAAAGCTGAATTTTCAGCATCATTACTCCAGTCTTCAGTGTCACATGACCCTTCAGAAATCATTATAATATGATGCTCAAGAAACATTTATTATTATCATCATTATAGATGTAAAACGGGTCGCTTAATGACCTTGCAAATGTTCCTCTCACAGGTGAGGTGACGCCAGGTCTCACCCAGACGGAGTTTGAGTTCCGTCGGCAGCGCTTGGCGTCTCTGATCGAGATGCAGGCAGAACGACTAACAGGTTCTGGAGCCTCTTCAAACTCCTCCCACATTGTCATCGTCCTATCGCATCCCATTCGCTACATGACCAATGACATCCCTTACCCGTTCCACCAGAACCAGGACTTCCTGTACCTGACAGGAATTATGGAGCCGGACAGCGCACTGGTGATGTACGGATCGGGTAAGCCGGAACAGACCGTGTTGTTCGTGCCACGACGAGACCCGGGGCGAGAGCTTTGGGACGGGCCTCGCTCTGGGAAAGACGGAGCAGCTGCTTTAACAGGCCTAGAGCGGGTGCACAGCACAGAGGAACTGGGCGTAGTGCTAAAAAGTATAAAAGGTAAAAGAAAAACAAGTCTACATTTACATGGATTCATTCAAGGTTTGCCTTTGCATCAGTATCTTACTCTTTTCTCCTTTTCCTAGGAGGAACTATATGGTATGACAGCTCTCAGCCTTGCCATCCACGGTTACACCAAACTCATGTGCTCCCTCTATTGGAAGGAGGACGGCTGACGAAGTCTCTCCGACCCCTCACCCATTCCCTCAGAGCCATTAAGAGCCCAGCAGAGGTCGCTCTGATGAAGGAGGCAGGACGGATCACTGCCCAGGTAATAAATCCCTAATAACTGTACCGTATGGTGCGGCAAATTAATAAGAAAAATAAGTTGTTCATGTAAAGAATGATCATTTCAGTTCAGTTATGAGGGACTTGGTGAAAGTATAAGTTGCCTGAAGAGGCCAAACATGTGCTATAATCAGCCATGCGTTTTTCTTCAGGCATTTAAGAAGACGATGGCCATGTCAAGAGGAGACATTGATGAGGCCGTTCTCTATGCAAAGGTGAGCCGAGGGACTAAATGCATGAATACACACACAAACAAACAGTCAATTTGGTAAAAAGGTTCTGTGTTTTGCAACCTGTTCACTGTTATATGGGTGTTTCATCCACTTCTGGCATTTTTCTGCTCCAGGTAGGCCTGTCACGATCATGAATTTTTTGTTGACAGTTAATTGTCATACAAATAATCGTGGTTAACAATTTAATTCTGTTTTGTTCATGTCACTTATGGCGACTAATACACATTTCTTTTACTTGTGTATATATATAATATAATATAATGCAGTCTAATTAAACCCACAAATCTTCATTTTGTATAAAATAAGACCTTTGGCTATCTTTATATTAGGGGTGCACGATTCAGAAAATGTCACGATTCGATTCGATACCGATTTTTTGTCTCAAGATTCGATTCAAAATCGATTTTCGATTCAAAAACGATTCTCGATTCAAAAAACGATTCGCAGTATATAAATGTAGTTTACTTTTTCCTATGTGATTGATTGCAGTATAGACACAATTTAAAAGAAAAACAAAAACAAAATAAATGTAGTTTGATATTACTTTGTCTTCATACAAAAATAAAAACTTTTGCAACTAAAAAGTGCACAGTGCCAAGCTTTGGCCAGCTTTCAAATACATTTAATTCAAGTTTAAAATAAAACTTAAATAAAAAGCTTTTACATTTAGCTTTAAAGTGCTGTAGTCAGATCAAACAAACAATTAGGCTAAATGTGGTTTAATAAGCACTACTTCAGCTACCAGGCTGACTGTTGAAATGTGAACTCGACTGGGCACATTGAACTTCCTAAAAATATACTAATGTCATAGAACCCTTGCGAAATAATTTTAAATAGATTTTAAAAAGCCACCACTACTGGTAACATCTATGGTTAGATTGATTTGTTTAGATCCAGTGAAGTCGTTCATAGGCGTAATTTGCGGGTATCTCCAGTTAACTAGCAGATCATTAATTTAGTTCGCTATTAAATAAGAGATCTGTTGTTTTTGAATTCAAGCTGAGCGCTCGTTGCCGCTGCTATCAGTGTCACGGATACAGTGTTCTCTGTGGCTCGCGCAGTCTTCACTCGGACGCGCGCTTCATATCGCCGTTGTGGTTCCGGTGAAATCTCAAAATAAAATGCACACAAACGTGATGAACATATTCGGTTTTGATGAGAGAGAGAAAAAACTATACGAGTGCGGTTTAGAACCCGTAACCTCTGACACGCTTGGCAAAAGATCTACAGACCATTAAGAACTCAAACATAATCTGCGGATCGATGCATTTATTTACGGGTTGAGCAGAGAGGCTGCACAGTTTGACCAGCGGGCGGCAAGAACTTGCAATGTAACTATTTATCAGACCGGCCCTCGCAGCCTCGAAACACTACCGAACCACCGGTAAAAGTCCCGACTCGATTGCCACTCCGCCCGTGCACGCCATCAAATTTAAAAAAAAATGAATCGATTTTTGGAATTCTATGAATCGATTCTGAATCGGTAAAGATTGAATCGCGATTCAAATGTGAATCGATTTTTTTGCACACCCCTACTTTATATACTTTACAACGGTGTTTTTTAATATTCTTTGGAAAAATGTGATTGAAATTTAAACTGCACAATTATTGCGGTTATCTCAAATAATTGTAATTAGATTGAATAACCATGATCAGATGATTGATCAGTAATCGTGACAGGCTCAGTCCCAGGTTTTGATTTTTTTTAAACTTTTTAAAAAATTGCTATTTTAAAGTTTATTAATTTTGTTTTGGAGGCCTCCTACAACAGGTTTACATGCATCAAAAGTAAAAAAAAAAAAAAACCACTTTCATTTTCTCATAATATAAATTGCACATCACCATATTGTTCAGTGTTTCTAAAACGACTCGATGGATGAATCCGTCTCTCTAAATCCCTCTTTTCCGTGAGCTTCTCTGATCTGATTGGCCAGATGGCCCAGTCTTTTGTGATTGGTCTGCCGCTTACACCGCGTGTCGAAAGCTATCGCCCATTACATAACTGAACTTCAGCTCATGAGGCTTCCTCAATCCTCAGCGATTGCACACTGTAAAGACAGTAACGATTTTACCATATCAATCTGGGCGCGAGTATGATGAAACATTTGAAGAACTTATTCAACCAAAACCTCTATCGCAAGGACGATTTGAGCGGAACGTTTCTCAGTGATACTTTACTCAGTTTGGGGTACAGACGTTAATTCCTCACTATCAGCATTGACAAGTGTATGTCCATCAACAAACCCATATGTGTGTGTATTTTTAATTTATCGCGGTGCACATGCGGGAACTGTATTAATTGTATCAATAAAGGTGCATGTTAGCCGAGCTCTAATGTGAATGACTGATGTAACATTAAAGGGGTCATGAACTGCATTGTTTTATTGTTTTATAATGTTTCCTGTGGTGCACTTATAATGTTAGTATGATTTTTACTTCAAAAATTGTCATAATTTAGAAATAAAAGGCATTTTTCCTAGCCTGATTTGAATGCTTTGTTTGAAAGGGCGTGTCTGTGTGAGACTTCAGTGTAAACGCCCACTGCTGTGATTGGCTGACAGCTTTGCATATGAAATAGCTAGTATTACATGTGGAACTCTCGAAAATGTTTACCACGTTTTTACTATTACTGCTCTCAATGTTAACTACTCGCAAAAAGTGATAATTACAATTAGATCTATGGCATTAAATTTAGATCCTGGCATGAAAGGTTGCAGTGATGAGCATAGCTGATCACAGACATGTAAGCAGCGATCTTCATTGCAACTCGATTTCTGCACACTAACGAATGCTTTCATCATAACTAACAGTGCAAACACAATGTAAATAAGTTGATTATTACGGGAGTTTAATGACGCGAGTCCAGAACTCAGTCAGTGATAAACATGCGCCTTTGGAAGGTAATGTTATTTTTCGTCCAGTGAGTGACCCTGTGCTCTTCTCTCTTCCTCATCTCACTAACGCCAGTGCTGTGGGCGGGGCCAAAGTTAGGTCTTTCACTACCTTATTACGTCATAAAGAGGCACATTCCAGGACTAGTCGTTTGCTGGGCCTGGTAACAATAAAAGCTGATTTTGGACTAACAAGGACATTTTCAGTTCTGAAACTTTCAGGATATTCTTATTATGACCTCTTATATGTCAAAACCTCAAGGAAAATTTGATTTCTCATTTCATGACCCCTTTAAAGTTTGCAAAACAAATCTTGCTCCATCCTTCATCCGACAGACAATCTGCATTAATAGACACAGTTTTAGGTAATAGTGGCACACAGCTGATTTGCTGTAGTATTTTAGTAGACAATAATAACGTGAGTTAGCCGGTTAGCTGGAAACTTACACAATATAAAACACAAAACTACGTATTTTGAACTCCCTGTAGAAAATGTATACTTCAGTAATTATTCATACTTACAGGTTGTGATTCTGAGGAGCAAGCTGGCCCAAATAAACTGGGTACTGACCCGTCTTTCAAGAGCAAGCGTTTAGAGAATCCTGCGTGGAACTGCGAGATTTGAGAAGCAGTCGTCAGTAAAATGATGTGTTTGTGAGCTGGTCAAGCTGTTCGCGGGCGGACAACGTACAACACAGCCGCAAATGTATTGTCTAATGACGTAGAACAACAAAGCAGTGGGATTCAAATACAAAACGACTCGTAAAGGCGGTTCAGAGTCGATTCTTTCTTTTGGGAGACTAACTTCCTGTATTTGATGAAAAATACTGTAAAAATGGTAATATTGTGAAATATTATTAGAATTGTAAAAATCTATTTTCTATTGTAATATATTTTAAAATGTAATTTATTCCTGTGATGGTAAAACTGAATTTTCAGCATCATTACTCCAGCCTTCAGTGTCAAGTGATCCTTCAGAAATCATTCTAATATGATTTGCTGATCAAGAAAAATTTCTTATTATTATCAATGTTGCAAACTATGATGCTTTTTCACTTTTCTTTGATGAAAGAAAGTTTAAAAACAGCATTTATTTGAAGAAATATTTTGGAACATAACATTATAAGAATTGTTTCTCTCTCTTTTGCTCAGTTTAATGCATCAATACTGAATACAAGTATTCATAAAAAAACATCTTGCTGACCACAAATTTTTGAACGGTAATCTAATTAGTATACATTTTTACACCATTATCACCCATCATTTCTACAAGACTGAACCATTTTCTATTAAATTAAATTCACATTTATTTGTATTGCGCTTTTCAAAATACATATAATTTCAAAGCAGCTTTACAGAGAAATTGAATACATGTCTACATTACAATTTAGTGTGATCTGTTGTCAGAGGTGACTGTGTCTTAGTTGTGCATTTCAGAAATGTACATATACAAATCACGCAGTTATTTAACAATGTATTAATCTAAACAATCTATTAATTTAAGGCAGAAATAATGAGCTCATTGAAATAAAGAATACATGTTGTTAACAAATGATTAGGATACATAGAAAAATTTAGCATTGGTGCATGTTGATTTTTCCTGAATATTTTTTTTTTCCTTTTTTTTTTTTCCAGAAGTTAGTTGTTACAAGGACATCAGTGTCAGTAAAGGGAATACCGTACTTTAGAAGAGATGAACTATGGGACATAAACCAAATAATTTAAATAAATCAAGGTTCTTATTTTGTCAAACTATGCTAAAAGAGAAAACATAATTGTGTTTATTTAGGATACATAAGATGCTAGCTATGAAATTAGCTGTAGCAAGACAAAAGAGTTGGGTCATTTTATTCACAACATTTCATGTCCACCAAAGAATACCATTCAACTGGTGGAATTTTACTTGCTTTCATTAAAAAATGTAAGTGGACAACTCAACCTATTTAGAGCATGAACAGTGATCGAACCCATTCGACCACATGAGCGTCTACACTACGAAAGCAATCTGGTCGAATGCGTTTTCTTCTACCTCTGCAAGTGGTCAAAAGTGGACAAGCTCAAAACATTTTAGACCCCATTTACACCTGTTTGTAGCATCATACACTTGTGATCCGATCAACCAAAACACTTATATGTATATGTATACAGAGTGAGACCACCCTTTGTGTTTAAAACGGCTTTTGTCCAGTTGCACATCGTTTTCCGGGGAGCTTTGCAGGTCAGTTTTTCTTCAAGTGTTTTGGAGACGTTGCCACAGTTTTTCTGGATTTCTTCATGTAATCCCAGACAGACTCGATGATGGTGAGATCAGATTATATCGGCTGTTGTGAGACAAAAATCTCACTGGATTATTACAATTAAAGGCAAAGATGAATGTTTGGAAATGGAAACTGATATTTCCTACTGACACACTACAGCAAAATATATAAATAACTGGCATAAAAACATTTTTCTACTAACATGTCAAAGACTTTTGCACAGTTCTATAGATATACTGTATATTTACAGTATATATATGTGTGTTGCAGAAAGTGCCTGTTATTTATTTTAAAGCATTTCAGAAGTTTTTGTAGCTCTGAAGTTTTGGGGTAGAATTACTTTGTAAAGTTGCCGTTGTTTGGCAGTACAGAGGTAATGGAGCGCCTGAGAACTGAAAATGTACCACAGAAACACAAATGACGTCAGCAAGCTCTTGGAGAGTCATATTTTAGTGCACTCTGTGTCCAGCCCACATGCTGACTAACATCTCTGCCTTCTTTCATCCTTTCTCTTCTGTTTTTCTTTTTGGATTTCCGTCTAGTTTGATTTCGAATGCCGTGCTCATGGCGCAAACTTCCTGGCATATCCTCCTGTGGTTGCTGGTGGAAACCGAGCCAACACACTTCATTACATCAACAACAACCAAATAGTGAAGGTGAAGTACCAAACACTTATAATCATTACTGGGGCCTTTTCTAAGAGGGAGAGTCTAGAACAGATTCATAAGATAAACAAGGAAGAAACTTGAAGTCTCTCTTAAACAGCATGTGTATGTAAGCTTTGTGTGCTTGTTTGGTTTTCACAAGGCAAATGTACGAAATACACAACAAAATATTATCACAATATTGAACTAACTTTCTTTCTCAGGATGGAGAAATGGTCTTGTTGGATGGGGGCTGTGAATATTTCGGTTATGTGAGCGACATCACACGCACTTGGCCGGTGAATGGAAAGTAAGTCTGTTTTCAACAGAACTCTCATTGTCTCAGACGTAACGTAGCTTTAATTTCATGCTGTTAGCAAGTAATCAATCAGTGCTCCAGACATTACTCCGTGTGCCGTCTCCAGGTTCAGTCCTGCTCAGAGAGAGCTGTATGAGGCCGTGCTGGAGGTGCAGTTGGCCTGTCTGTCTCAGTGCAATCCTGGCGTCAGTCTGGACTATATATACTCCAGCATGCTCGCGCTGTTGGCCCGGCAGCTCAGAGAGCTCGGGATCGTCCCACAAAGCACCAGTGATACAGACACACTGAAGGTACCCTGATTTGTTTTAAAAAGCAGGCTGTTTAAAGGGAAAGTTCACCCAAATTTATTTTAATAATCAATATACGTACATCAATATATATATATATATATATATATATATATATATATATATATATATATATATATATATATATATATATATATATATATATATATACACACAATATATACTCAAATCAAATATCAGCAAATACCATTTCAGATCAAATATGAGCAAAAACCACACATTAAATTGTGATTAAGTAAGCAGGACTACCTGAGCAACAACTTGGGGGCATGAGGGGCTTTTTTACTGAACAAAGGGTTGTTTTGAGATTTAAAATAAATAAATAATTTGAATTCATTATTTTTAATAAAGTAATCAATTGATCAAAAGTGAAAATAAAGACATTTATTGTCTTACAAAAGGTTTCTATTTCAGATGAAGGAATCTTTAAAAAATGTATGATGTTTTCCGTAAAAATATGAATCAGCACAACTTTTTCAACAGTTTTCAACACTGATAATAATAATTATAAAGCAGCAAATCAGCATATTAGAATGATTTCAGAAGGATCACGTGACACTGATGACTGGAGTAATGATGCTTTTAAATCACAGTAATAAATTACCGTACTTTAAAATATATTTAAATAGAAAACGTTTTAAATGTTTTATTTTTTTTAATTTGTAATAATATTTCACAACTTTACTGTATTACAACATTTCAATTAAATGCAGCTTCGGTGAGCATGAGAGACTTCTTTCTTTCAAAAACATTAAAAAGTCTTACTGACTCCAAACGTTATTTCAAGTTGCAGTGCTTAAGATTTTAAGAGTTTTTCCTTGCGGAAGTTATTACTATAAGTCAACATACTAAAACTTCCAATATTTTGCGTATTCAAATTCATTTTTTTAAAGAACCAAGTCACAGTCATTAAAGAAGTTATTTTCTAACAAATTCGCCCACTTTCAACTATACATTTTAAGAAAATGATTATGATAATTTTATGCAAAAAAAGATAAGTGATATTTAGACTGTTTATTTGTTGAATATCTGCATTGAGTCTGCGAATGTGTCCATGATATGAATTTCATCATCAGCATTGTATGTGCGTACTTAAAATGCACAGCCAGACTTTCTCTGTATGCGCAAGCTCGCAAGTGCTTGTTTTGAATGTTTTGCCACTAATTAGAAGTTAAAACACCGGAAGAACAACTATAAAAAACTACTGGAGATGGCAACAACAATAGACACGCATTAAGTGCTTATGTGAAAGGATCAAAAGAAACTCGCAACTCGAGTAAAAAGACATTTTTATCAGTAATAATTATCTTTTTTTTTAGAGAAAATAACACAGACACTGGACAAAGATTAAACTTTCTAGTGTGTAGCATGCGATTTGATTCACGCGTGTCTTTTAATCGGTTGTGAATATATACTGCAAAATGTACCACAGGCCTCTTACACCAACCTGAGATTCTGGTTCACAGCGCTGAAACACCAGGAATTCGAAGCCTTCTTTATTTATTTAATTGAACTTCCTTAAAGCTGTGTATTCAGGAAATGACTATAAGTCTTCCTGCCCAATTTAAACGCCCAAGATTTGCACCACTTACAGTGTCTGTAAAGCACCATACTGCTATAAAAGCAACCTTTCACTTTAACGCAGCGAGTTTATAAGGCCAACAACCCGACATGTTGGTCAGTTTAGCCCATTGCGACTGTGGGGATGTAGGTGTGCACTTATTTCAGTTTCAGTCACTTTTCCACTTCAGAGTTTTGTGATTGATCACATTACACACACTCAGTTGTTTTTCTCAATTCAGTTGTTTTTCTGTTCCCCCTTTCAGGCTGCTCGGCAGTTTTGCCCCCATCACGTGGGTCATTACCTGGGCATGGACGTTCATGACACCCCTGATCTGTCTCGTTCACAACCGCTGCAGCCGGGCATGGTGATCACAATAGAGCCAGGTAAAGATCACTCATTAAAAAATGAAAAACGTTATGTCACTGCAGCTGCACGCGCATTGTGTTGGCAGAAAAACAGTGGTACCAAGTGGAGGAAAACAGGCGATATCCACGTAATAAGAGAAAAAATGTCTTCTTGTGACTTTGGATGTCAGAATCGGAATGGAAAAAATATGGTTTTCATTTTTACAGCATACAGCCGTCGAAGACGACCTTTAAAGCGAAACACAGACGTTTATGGTTGCAAGTCATTAAACGGACAGACTGGACTGATGAAACTTGCGACGATTACCCTACTATTAAAGCACGAATTTCATGTAAACAATAGATCTACATAATATTCACATATGCAGTTCATAGAGGGGCACAATGTATTTGCCCTACAGTTGTGAAATAATATTTAAACCTATAACATTTTACATAGATATAAACTAGCAATTGCAAGAAAAAAGTCAGAATTGTGAGATCAAAATGTTATATTTTAAATGTTTAAATTATATCACAATTGTGAAAGAAAAAGTCAGAATTGGCATAAATGCGAAATTCTGAGAGAAAAAGGTAGAAGGCAATTTCAATCCCGCAAACCAGATTTATTTTCTCAGTATTGTGAGATATACACTCGAAATTACCTTTTTATTCTTTTATTCCATGGCTTCCATAGACTGCTACTGTTAAACTGTCATTTTCTAGTTCATACTAAACAATATTTTATTTCAGTTATACACAGAAAATACAGACTAGCTGTACAGTACAACTAAAACAGTCACCTGAATGGACGTTGCAACATGCTGCAAGTGCATTTGAGGTGAAGACAGATGTGTTGATCATAATTGGAGCAATCTAGTCGATGTAGGATTGAATTGAGGGCATTCATACAGCTCCCCGCTAGCCTGGTTAAAACCAGACCATTCTCAGTTGTAACTGAGTTATGGTCTGGCAAAGCGTCATAGACAAATCATTTCCAGAGGGGAGTCACCAACGGACGTCGCGGATAGACCTAAACCCAATCAGAGCGATGAAGGAGATGACGTATGCAGAGCGGCGGAGAAACATCTCCGAGTGTTGTTCTTTGCTCGGTTTTTAACAAAAAGGAAACGTTCAAATCGCTTAAAACAGACGCGATAGCAGATTCGAACGAGTGATGTTCGACGGCGGCATCCATCTTTGTAATGTAGGCTAAAATCTGCTTCAAAATCCCAGCGCTGTCGTCATCGTGTAAAGCCCGTCCCAACGTTTCTGATTGGTGCCTCGATTTCGACGGATTGGAAATGGGCTTGAATGAGCTCTTTGCCAGACTAACTTTCAAAGGAAATCTAAATTTGCCGGAAGTTGTCTGGGTTTTCCCAGGCTAGCTCCTCGCTAGATAATACTGATAACTGTAGACATGTATCTTAAAGGAGTAGTTCGTTTTAAAAAAAAACCCATGCTGATAATTTACTCACCCCCATGTCATCCAAGATGTCCATGTCTTTCTTTCTTCAGTCGAAAAGAAATTAATGTTTTTGATGAAAACATTCCAGGATTTTTCTCCATATAATGGACTTCAATGGTAGCCAAACGGTTCAAGGTCTAAATGACCGTTTCAGTGCAGCTTCAAAGGGCTTTAAACGATACCAGACGATGAATAAGGGTCTTATCTAGAGAAACGATCTGTCATTTCAAAAATAAATAAAAAAGTTAAAGTTTTATAGGCACAAATGCTCGCCTTGCGAACTCTCCTGTTCGAACTCGTTCATCAAAATGAACGAATCTTTTTTCGAGTCATTGACTCGTTCATCAAAATGAACGAATCTTTTTCCGAGTCATTGACTCGAAAAAAGATTCGTTCATTTTGATGAACGAGTTCGAACAGGAGAGTTCGCAAGGCGAGCATTTGTGCCTATAAAACTTTAACTTTTTTATTTATTTTTGAAATGACCGATCGTTTCGCTAGATAAGACCCTTATTCATCGTCTGGTATCGTTTAAAGCCCTTTGAAGCAGCACTGAAACGGTCATTTAGACCTTGAACCGTTTGGCTACCATTGAAGTCCATTATATGGAGAAAAATCCTGGAATGTTTTCATCAAAAACATTAATTTCTTTTCGACTGAAGAAAGAAAGACATGGACATCTTGGATGACATGGGGGTGAGTAAATTATCAGCAAAAGTGTTTTAAAAAGTGAACTAATCCTTTAAATGCACTGTAATGACTGTTGGACTTTTGCACACTGTTCAAAGTAACAATCAACTCTGCAGCATTCGAGCTCGTGCAAAAAAAAAAAAAAATCAATTTGTGCATCCTAACAGAAGCTCTAAACTCTCTTCTCTTGCTCCCATAACCCAGGACTGTACATCAGCGAGGACGACAGCTCATGTCCAGAGCGATTCCGGGGTCTTGGGGTGCGAATCGAGGACGACGTGGTGATTCAAGACCATGGGGGACCCCTTATTCTGTCTGCACACACCCCGAAAACCATCGCCGAGGTGGAGAGAGCTTGCGCACAAGGAGAGGACTGAAGGAAAAGAGTAACCGATAGCAAGTCCTTACAGAACTAGTCTGTTTCTTCCGTCTTGTGTAGAGTTTTCTTTAATACTGGACTCAGGAGGTCTGGATCTCACAGAACTTGCTCCAGTTACGTATTGAGGATTCTGGAAGATTAAGAGCCGGACGTGTCTGGACAGCGTGCGACGTCTCCCTGATGATCTAGGATGAGGGTTTATAGGAGACTTTAAATGAGGTCAAATGGAGAAACAAATAGGTGACTGTGATTTAATGAGCATGGTGAACTATTCATGTTTGTGTGAGAACTGATCTGTTTCACTGTGAGATTCTTCACTTGTGATTATGACTTGAGTTTGTTTGTCTGCTGAGGTTTTTATTGTCATAAATGTGTTTTTTACTGTTGTCAAAATAAATTCCTAGCTCTTGATTGTTGCTGTAGTTAGCCACCTTTATTTCTATAAACAGATTGTTTTAAAGCAGCTTCACAGTGATAAACAGTGAAAAAAATGCAAACTTCATCAAATATGAGACATTCAAATTTAGCTGTAAAGCAGCTCTAAAAAGACTACAGTCATTGTTTAGCTCGAGTCAATGTTGATTCAGTTCAGTTCAAAAGTAGCGATGTTCCAAAATTCGTCAATTGTGAAACAAACTCCATTCTGCTTGTTAAACACATAATTGGTCACTGATCAGATTCTTTGCAAAAATGGGACATTTTGATTCAGTTCATATTCTAAATGCAATTGAAAGTTTTAATGACTCCAAAACGTGTCAGGTGTAGCAAATAGTTATACTAACATTGCTTGGTTTTAAGGCAGAGTAGTTTACTATTAGAAGTCAAAAAATTAAAAGTGATGACATTCATGCTGAATGAAGTCTTAAAATATGTATAGCACTTTTCACAATACATATGCATACAAAAATAGTGCCCTAACCTAAGGTTCAGTTAACGAATCAGAATTAGTTTTGGGCTGCTGTGTTTTTGTGAATCTGGCCAAATATGTATCAAATTTGGCCTAAAGCAAGTGTGAATCAGAAACTAGAGGTACTACCATCACCAAAAAAACTATTGTGACCTACACACTACACAGCATATTTTAAACTATGTATAAGCATGTTCTGATTTAGCTAAGCTTGTTTGAGGTTAGCTGATCCGTAATGCCCAAAAGTACTGTCTATGTGGGTTTGTGATGCTCTTAAGGCAGTCTATACAAGCAGCTCAATGGGTGTATAGGTTTTTGAACAGAAGTGAATTTGAATGATGCCGTCTAGGCAGGCAGCTCATTGGGGTTTGGAGATTTTTTACTTTTTTTTTTTTTTGATTTTGAGTTTTTTAAACTAAGCTGACTCTGAACATTTAGATGGCGCCCAAAAAGGTCTAGGTAGGCATCGCACTTGGTTTTGAGACACAATTCTTCCGCTAAGATGACTTACAATGCATTTATCCTTGGGTAAGCAACTTGAGGTTTTTGAGTTGAACTGACTTTCAACATGCCAATGTGGCCCAGAAATGCTGTCTTGGTAGGCCATTTAGGCTTTTGAGCTGAATTGACTCTTATAATGCCCCAAAATGCTGGCTACATTGTCAGCTCCTTATGTTTTGAGCCGGAATGCTGTCTAGTTAAGCAATGTCCCTAAGCTAAGCTGACTATGAAGGTGTCGATGAGATCCAAAAACGCTTTCTAAGCTCACCAGATTTAGGAGTTTTTGGGCTGGATTGACACTGAACATGCTTATGATGGCCCAAAATGTTCCTAGCTTTTCCGGGTTTTTTTTTTAGCTTAGGTCAGTCAGAATGTGCAGAAACTTCTCAAAAATGTATGTCTATATAGTCAGCTCAATGGGTTGTGAGATACAAATCTCAGCTGAAATGACTTGCATTGAGTTTATGCCCAAAATATGCTGGGTAAGTAACGGAATTGACTCAGAATACGCTTATGATGCCCAAAATGCTGCTACAAAGTCAGTTCCCTTGATTTTGAGACACAATCTCTCAGCTGAGATGACTCATAATGTGGTCATGCCCAAAAATGCGGTCTAGGTAATCAATGTTTTTAAGCTAAGCTGAATGAATTTATGACATAAAAAATGCTATCTAGGTTGGAAGCCCACAATAGGCACAACTGAAATGACTCAGTATGATGTCCAGCAGGGCTACTGTCTTGAGACACAAGGTACATTCCAATACTTGTGCACTATTCTATGTTGTTTTGTAGTATCAATAGTTTGAGTAGTGTGTTCACACTGTGCAATACCCAGATGATCCACTTTATTAACTGAAAAAAGGAAGTGTAATGTTGGCCACTTCAAGCAGTCGACTGGGAGGGGCTATCAGACTCTAGCTGTGTCCCAAATGACACACTACAGATTATGCACTTATACACTATATGCACTATGTACTCAACCGTGTGTATGAACTTTATATAAGTTTATTTTTGTCTTTCAACATCAGAGTCTGATACCCCCTCCCCCTCCCCCTCCACTACGTAATTAAAGCTGCGACAGTTGAGTGCATGAAGTGTCCGACGTTTCACACTTCGTTTTTTCGGTTAAATAAGTGCATCATTAAAGTGCACTTTTTCTTTTTAGAATTTTCAGTGTGAACGCACTACTCGCACTATTTATACTACAAAATGGCATAGAATAGTGCACAAGTACGCGATTTGGGACGCACCTTCTGATGTTGAATGGCAAAATAACCTTATAAAATGCATACACAACACGGTTGAGTACAAAGTGCATACAGTAGTCAACATTTAATGTGGATCAAAAGTTTCATCAAAGTTACATGAACTTTGAACAATACCCGTTCTTGTCTTAAGACAACTTTAATGAAGTTTTTTTATCCACTTCAAATGTTGACTACTGTAGTGTAATTTTATACATAAGCTAATTTTTTTAATCTGAATTGACTCTGAACTCGTTTAATACTATCTACATAAACGGTTTTGTGTTTGAGCTGAGCTTACTCAAACCATGCCAAGGTGCCTCAAATGCTGTGTGAGTAAAAGCAACTTAAGGTTTTTGAGCTGAACTGACTCTCAACACGATGATGCCCAAAAATGCTGGCTACATAGTCAGTCCTTAAACTGAGATGATTCATAATGTGGTCATTCCCAAAAAAGCAGTCTCGTTTTTGAGCTTAGCTGACTATGAACGTGCTTATGATGTCCAAAAAGGTTGGAAGCTTACTAGGCTTATGCGAATCAGCCTCTGAACTAAGACCACTCAATGATATGACAGCCAAAAATGTCACTGCGTTTTCTTGCCTCCACTGCACTAAGGGCACTTGACCCCTGGGCTTCACTGTCCCTGCCTCCAGGTAGAAAGCCAAGTCGAGTAATATTCTGCTAAACAAGTCACAATGTGGGCATCATTTCAATGAGTGACTCCATCATCTGATGATGATGATGATGATGATGCTGGACGCCGTCTTGCACCCGCCCAGAACAGTCGCAACTCCGAAACAGTACGGAAACAGCACTGTCCGGGAAATCCCGATCGCCATCTCCCCCTCCACCCCCCTTTACTAATGTTACCGCACCTCCAACCTTCCCTCCCCCCAGCCAGAGGAGTAGAAACAACAAGCCGCCATTTTGTTTGTGCGGAGAGAGTGAAGGAGGCAGGAGCGACCGAAAAAAAGCCACTCGAGCGCCGACCACTGCGACTCTGAGCGCCACCGGCTCCGTCCTCGAGGATCCAAACCGGATCAAACACACAACCGGGGTGGTTAGCGGAGGAAACGGAGCAAGATTAGATTATCCAGTGTGAAAATAAAAAAAGCAGACCGGATTTTCCTTTCTTTTTCTGTTCTTTTTTTAAACGAAGCGGAGAGGCGGAAGAGGGCAATACATTTAAACGAAGGGAAGCTCGTCAGGGGAAAAAGGAAAATAACAGCGTCACGAAGTGGGAATATCTGCGAAATCACATCGCCGGTTGCTGGCGGACGACAGCGAAAGTGGGAAAAATTGCAGGAACTGTGCAAAAGAAGGGAGAAATTAAAAAGGGATGAACGCGCAGGGGGGTTCACAGCATCACAAAGCCTATGAAAGGGGTTTGAGGACCCCCAGATTTTGGGGGGTGCAGCTGGCAATATCACCCGGATCGGCAGATGCTTCAGACCCGAAATATTACTGAAGCCCACCTCGGTTCGGTTCATTCTATTTTCGACCCACCGCTGTTCCTCTCGCTCTTTCTTTAATGCTCCGCAAGGCTCTTCGTGCAGTGACAAATTATTCTTATTTGCTCGATGTGACTGACAGTGCATTGAAATGCACGCAAATGCATTGACCAACTTCACTTGATTCCCATTCTTTAGCTCGTGCACAGCGAACTGCACGACTGCGAGACAACATCTTATTGCACTTCAGGCGAACGATTAATTGCATACATGTTCTGTCCATTAGACAGCCACTTTTGAAATCATTTTTCTTTGCATTTTGCATGCAAGAGCTGTGCGCAGTAGTGCAGGGTGGTCTCGTGGAGAGCAATGGTCAGAGATTTTCTGCAAACACTTTTAACTCGTGCAGTGGACACATTCACACAGAGGGCGCACGAGCCATATTCAGATGTGAATGCACAATAAATCATTTGACTTGTCATCACTTTGAGGTGTTTTTGCAAAATACGAAGACATGGACACTGACATATGCAAGTTGTTTGGAATCATCTAAAGTGATATAGCTCGTGCAAGCCATTTCAGTCCTTGGATGCACATTTCTCATGTTATTTATTCTGCAAAGATGTTACTGTCTTGAAAGGATGAAAGTAAACTTTTACATTCATATGATTGCTTAATTATATTCCAGTTTTCCAAGTATTTATTTGTTCTCTCTACCCATTTTAATTACTTGGGAGGAAATAAAGACATTGACGAAGGAGATTCGTACATCCGTGTCGATTTTAAGGAGCTTGATGGAGTTTAAATCTTCTAAGTAAAGTGATGCTGGCTGGGAATTGCACATGCTACAACGCAAAGAGGGACATAATTCTAAATCGTTGTGTTTGCTTATAAGCATTGCATGAAGTCGGACCAGATTGAGTTCGATATCTCGTACACAACGCCTTAAAAAACAACAACACCTCAGTTCGCCGCCGACAATGGCGGAAAAGACGGATGCAAGCAGCGAGGATAAATCTTGGGAAAACTGCTCCGCCGCCGAGGAGGCTACGTGAGTTTGCGGCGAGCTTGCATGACCGTCTGTTCCTCCCTTCACCTCCTCCATTCGGAAACATACTTTGAGGAACTAAAGACTAGAAAATCTTAAAAGGGAGCATTAAAGGTGGACTGAACATTGAATCATTACATTGCATTGCATTGTATGCATGTATCGTCCCATGAAAGGGAAACGGGAAAACGTCCGGAGCTCGTGAACGAGGAGATTTCATTCGCACATCGGCTCGCGACTGCACAGGAAGGGCTATACTACGCGGGATATATGCATTAACACTAAATCGGAGGAAAACTATGGCCGATAATGTGCTGGACCCTGGTCCGCCTTCAGCTAAGAGGCCTAAATTGTCTTCCCCGGCTCTGTCGGTCTCCGCGAGCGATGGAAACGGTAAATAATAATGTTCACGCGCTGCGGTGTGCGGCGAGTCTCGAGCCTGCACACTGCCGCTGTTCGCGTGCATGTATGAAAAAAAGACACGCGACGTGTGTTTTAAGAGCGTTCTTTTGTTGTATTTGTTTGTTTGCATCACCCCCGCTATTTAAATAACTTAGCAGCATAGCTAGCAGGCTAATTTGCTCAATGTTTTCATTTGAAGTTGATGAGGTGCGTTACAATTCTGTTGTTGTGTATAGTAGGCAGTGTTTTTCCGGGTGTGGGTTACACAAACTTTTGGCTTTGTACGTCGTTGTGCGATGTCGAGAGCTGGGGTTGGTGTCAAAGGTTTATAAGGTGATGCATTTTGAGCTTGTCAGGAAAAGAAAAACTCGACATACACGCGTTATAAATCACGTCGCTTTACTGACACACGGTTGGGAACGAAGTCGAGATCACTTCTTATCAAGTTGGTTTACATTTAGTGAGTAGACAAACCAGTGTTTGCAGGTTTCTGATCAACACTGAGCAGTAGATGCTACCTCATCTAACTGGTTTTTCTATATCTTAAACTAGCTTTTGCTGGTCTTCCTGGTCTGACCAGAAGAAAAGTGCCCAAGACCCTTCTAAAACCAGCGTGTGCAGTTAAGGCCAGCTAACGTTAACCATTCTAGACTGGTTTTAAGCAGTTTTTTTTCTTACAGCAGAGTTTAATGTCTAGATATCAAAGCCTGGTCATATTGTCTTATTTGAACTGTAACGTTAGTGATCCACCATACAGTTTTTTTTTAATGGATACTGTTATGCGTTTATATATTTAATAATATCAAATTAGATTAATTTGAATCAACAATTTATTTCATTTCATGCAATATTTATTTAATTTAAAAAAAAGTTTGGGACTTTTGGGGTAAGTTGTGCCACTGTTTATGTTGTCATCTAGGCACTAAGAAATGAGATGTATGTAAAATGAATACTTTGAATTTTATCCCAGAGCTATTTTATTGACCACTATCCACAGTTTCTTAAAGGTACCCATAAACCAGCAATAAATAGGTTATTTTAATATTCAGAATATTTAAGTGAATTTAAACTTTTTTTTTTTCATTTTTAGAAATGTTGAATTCTTTAGATTTTTTTTTTTTACATGCCAAAAAAGCTGTCACTTTTCTCATGCAAAAATATATTTTTAAATATAAGGTGACATGACAAATTAAGCCTTTTAGATTAAGGGGGCAACATTTTACCCTACTCTTACCTATCCTATCATTCAAAAGGGTTGTATGTAGATTTTAAGAACAAAATGGTAACATTAACATGTTTTTTTTTTGTACTATTATGACTAATCTTAATCCAAATATTGTCTAATGAATCACTTGGCTGATAAATGTGGAGATTGTGCTCAAAAGTTTGCTTGCTTCATATTTAGAGCATGTATTAGTTGTTGGTGTGTTGCTGTTATCAGGACATGCCATTATGCAGGAAAAAGCCCCCATTTTGTCCCACTGCTTGTCCATTGTTATGCCATGCCATGTGTTTTTTATTAGTATGAACCATTAGGACGTGCACACACCGGCTCTACTACATACTGCTCTCCTGCGAGGCGATAATCTCAGCCTTTCTCTCTCATCACGAGAGCTGCAATAATCTGTTCCAGTTTTCTAACCATCAGCTGAGATTCGTTAAATTTCACTGGTCAATTTGTGTACATTTCTTGCTGTATGGTGACTGATATACCAATATATTGAGCAGTCAGACTAACCGACCGATATCTGTTTATTGTCATTGTGTAGTATTATTTAAGATCATCAGATTCAATTCAGTCTGCAAAGTCACAACTCGGGTAAAATATGATTTCTTTCGCCGTGGCTTTACTGGAAACGTCTCATATTTTGTGGCATACTGTAATTATTCTCTAATGGATGTAATTATGAGTGATTTTTCTGTGAGCAACAACCTGATTAAAGTCTATTTTTCTTTGTTTTTTAGATTTCGGCTCTCTGTTTGACCTGGAGCATGACCTCCCAGATGAGCTCATTAACTCCTCCGACCTGGGCCTTCCTAACGGGATGGACCCCGGCCAGTTGCACACCAGTCTGGGTGGCGGAGGGATGTCGGGGCCTCTGGGCGGCTCGGGCCAGGACACTGCGGCCAAACACAAGCACCTGTCTGAGCTCCTCCGCCCTGGCGCCCCTCCATCCACCTCCACGGCCACTGGCAACCCGGGTAACGCGTCCTCCCTGGGGATGATGGGAAGTCTGGGTGGTGCCCAGGGACTCGGTGGCCCTCAACAGCAGCAGCCTGGCATGATGCCGCAGCCTGGCATGGTGGCGGGATTGAATCGGGGCATGATGGGCACCCAGAAAGGGAACGGTCAGCCGCAGAGCATGATGGGAGGGCAGATGATGAATGGTGCACCCAGAATGAGCTACGTCAATGTGAACATGAATGCGGGCATGGCTGGTAACGGGAACATGCTGCCCGATTCTCTGCAGCAGCAGAGCGCAGGACAGCAGATGGCACAGGCAGTGATGAGACCGCAGCAACCAGGAACAGTGAACAAGGTAACCTGTGAACAAATCAGCGCGTCGATATAACAGTGAGACAAGGGATTCTGTGCGCTCGTACTGTTTACAATGTATTCATGCACCTCAAACAGTGGAGTGCGCACAGAATGTTTTAAAACTAACCTGAACTCATTACACTTCTGTATGACATCTTCCTGAATAAAATAACAATATATTTATATATTCTACACTAGCTTTCAAAAGTTTGGGGTCAGTATTTTTTTTTTTTTTTTTTTTTTTTTTTTTAAGAAATTAATATTTTGTATTCATCAAGTATTACATTTAATTCTTTTTCAATTTAATTTCAACTTAATTGAGTTACATTGTAATTCTTTTGAACTTTCTAATCATCAAATAATTTAGAAAAAAAACAAAAGGATCGCAGTTTCCACTAGGGGATAATATCTGTATCTTTATGTTACAATCTCAATTATTTATATCTGTGTTTGGATAAAACTGAAAGTGTGCGGGCCGGGGTCTAAACCGGAAGTTCGTAAAATTACATGAGAAGTTCGTTTTAATTCTGTTCCCTTCATAGTTTTCATTTAACAAATATGCCTTGTATAAGATTATTACAAAAAAGTTACTTGTATATTTTTATTACAAATATACTTTTTCTTTAAATATTTTCAAATTAAAACAATAATTCTAAATGTTAAATAAAAGGAAAGAAAGCATCCAGAGGAACGTTGTGCACAGAGTTATGTCAAGACAATCATCTACAACCTCAAATAAGAGGATTCTATTTAAAATGGCTGATTAGAGAACATGGAAGTTGAAAGAACATATTCAGTGGTTGAAAATTGCTAAAACAACTTTTACTATACTACAAATCTGAACAAATTATAAAGAATACATAAATGCTTGCTGGCTCCGGGAGAATGTGAGGCGAAGAAACATATCATGTATCACATCGTACAAGATTTAAAACATTTAAATAGACATATGAAATATCAAGTAGTAGAAAATGAAATGTGTATGATTCAGTATCTTAGTTGATATTACTTATGTCAAGCTCTTATTTTTTGAGAAACGCACAGAGATGGCGGAGTGGCTTTTAGATTTACGAACGTGCTGTGCTCATTTTAGTAGTTTACACTCATTTGTGTATCATATTGTACAAGGTTCAAAACCTTTAAATTAAATCATAGTAGTATTTTAATTTATATTACTCCTGGCAGGCTCTGATTTCCGAGAGACTCACAGAGACGGCATTGGGGCTATTTGTGGTCATTGTGCACATTTCATTTATCTATAATAAATTGCTATGATCCACTGGCTAAACTGTTAATCAGCAAACACGAGAAGTGTTTGCCGAACATTTTTCCTGTTAATCGGTTGAATTGGTTATTTGTTTTGAAGCCATTATCTGTGCCTTTCTGAATAAGGTATTCGGCTTTGTGCACACCCATAGTTTCCACAAATGGCTGCTGAAAATTCAGCTTTTCCGTCACAGAAAGAAATCACATTTTAAAATATATTACAACAAAAAACAGTTGTTTATAATATTTCACAACATTACTGTTTTTATAATACTACATTCAACATTACTAGTGTATTTTTGACCCAAACTTATATATATATATAATGTATATGTTATTATATAATTGTTTATACTTAAATAATAAATTGTATTTTTATTCTATTAAATAATAGTATCAACATTTTAACTAAATTTTATATATATATATATATATATATATATATATATATATATATATATATAGGCTTTTTATTATTATTTTTTAAATGAAGAAACTACATTGAGAGCAATAATGCAATGTTCTGATTCTGTCACACACCTATCAGTTCTGTGGACGTAGACTTTATGGTTTAGTTGCTTTCGAGGGGAAGTTAATATCAAAGGTCAAAAAAAAAAAAATCAGTATTTATGACTTTTAAAGGCCAAGTTTTCTTATTTTCAAACTTTATAACTTGGAGACTCTTGTAATCTTTACTCACTTGAAGACTCAAGTTCTAAAAACTAAATTTGAAAAATTATTGGTTTCATTGTCCGAATACACATATCTGAGTAGTTATGCTCTTGTGATAGCACTGTATTACCCTCCTTTAAAAACACAACCCTTTGTTAATTGTTTTGTCCAGTAAGACTAACAAATAAGCTAGAGAAATAGACCAGAATGAATACAGATCTTGTGGTGTTTCTTTGGTTTGGATAAGACATTCAGTGATGTGATCCTTGAACACATCTAAAACAGACCTCAGTTTGAAAAACCTTCTCTACTCCCTCATACGAGGAACTGCGCACCATTTTGTTGATTCACATGCGATTGCACAACCTGGACTGCAGGAAATGGGCAGAAAAAAGAGGGAATGACATTTTCTTTTTTGGTTTGCTGGGTCCTTCTAGATTTTTTTTTTTTTTTGAGGTTTGTTTTATGGAATTGATACCACAGTGTCATTATATGTATGAAGTGAGTAGATAATGTGAACATTAAACATGCTGAATGAATCTACTGATGTTCGTTTTTGCTGTTAACTCCTCATTGATGGTTGATGATTCTGCTTCTTTAAATTTGGATAATTTAAACTTTTGCGACTGAAATACCAGCAATTGTTCAAATTTTTGATAAAGCTTTTCCTCCCCTCTTTCTCTCTCTCAGATGGGAATGATGGCTGCTCCGGGCCCCTACGGCGGTTCGTATGGTCAGTGTGGAGGACAGTCCCTTGGGCCTCAGCTCCAAAACAAAGCGGGTCAACCCAACAGCATTAACCAGTTCAATTTGGACAAGAAACCTCAGCATGGGCAGAATATGAGCAGCATGGTGAGAGACCTATAAAGAAAATGTCAAAGTGAACCACATTCACACACATTCACTGACCCTCTGTGGGATTACTTCCTGCTCTAACCGGCCACCAAGATTCTTCTGTTATCATGTCCCCTCAGACCTCAGGCTGTGGTTCATCCCACAGACACAGAACTTGTTACCAAATCTGCATGGCCAGATTTCTGAAGAATTGGAAAGAATGTCATTTGCAAAATTCGACACATTGCCAACCCCATTTAATTTTGTTCTATTGAAAATTCTATCTATCTATCTATCTATCTATCTATCTATCTATCTATCTATCTATCTATCTATCTATCTATCTATCTATCTATCTATCTATCTATCTATCTATCTATCTATCTATCTATCTATCTATCTATCTATCTATCTATCTATCTATCTATCTATCTATCTATCTATCTATCTATCTATCTATCTATCTATCTATCTATCTATCTATCTTCAAAACAAAAGGTGTCCATGTAAACGTAGCTATTGAATATAACAAGAAATGTTACTTGTACAGCAAATCAGCATATTTCTGGAAGATCGAGTGACTGAAGAAAAATTCAGCTTTGCCATGACAGAAATAAATAAAATGTATTCAAATAGAAAACAGTTATTTGAAATTGTAATAATATATCACAATATAACTGTATTGTTGACCAAATAAATGCAGCCTTGATTAAGACATTAAAAATCTCACCGATTCTAAGCTTTGCTAACGGACATTCCAGTTTTTTTTTCATGACGACCCTTGAAACCCTTTCTTTCTGTCTGTTTCTAGCAGAGCTCAGGTGTGGTTGGTGGCGTCTCGGGCCCGGGTGGGGCGGTAGCGCCCCCTGCAGCGGACCCTGAGAAGCGTAAACTCATTCAGCAGCAGTTGGTGCTGTTACTACATGCTCACAAGTGCCATCGCAGAGAGCAGGCCAACGGAGAGGTCCGCCAGTGCAACCTGCCCCACTGCAGAACCATGAAGAACGTCCTTAATCACATGACCCACTGTCAGGCCGGCAAATCCTGCCAGGGTGAGCTGAGCCACCCATTCATAATCTTTTGTTCATATTTTATCTTCCCCACGCATAAAAAAAGATGACAGCACCTTACTTGCATGCTTGTGTTCCCCGACAGTGGCTCACTGCGCGTCCTCTAGGCAGATTATCTCTCACTGGAAGAACTGCACGCGGCACGACTGTCCCGTCTGCCTGCCGCTAAAGAGCGCTGGGGACAAAAGAAACCAGCAATGTGAGTTAATATGCACAAATGCAACTCATCCTCAAGTCATTATAAATCTGTATGACTTTCTTACTTTTTTCAGTGGAACACAAAAGAAAATATTTGGAAGAATGTTTCAGCTGTTTTCACCCATGCATTGAAAGTCAATGGGGTCCATTGGTTTAAAATATTGTTTAAAATATCTTATAACATATTGAAAGGGTTTTTCAATCTCCCATCCTTCATCTTTCTCTCTAGCTCTGCTGGTAGGTGCTGGGATGGCCATGGGTGGTCCATTAGGTGGGTCATTACCTGGCGGCCAGCCTTCAGCCCCAAACTTAAACCCACCCAGTCAGATTGACCCAAGCTCAATCGAAAGGGCATATGCTGCTCTTGGACTCACTTACCAGGGCAACCAGGCATCCAATCAGAATCAGCAGACCTCTGCAACTGCTCAACCCGGCATGAGGACGCTCAACAACATAGGTTAGAGTTTCCTTAACCTTTAGTCTCTGGGGCTGTCTAAATACTGCTGTCCAAATGCTGTCTTGGCCACTTAAGAGCATGTGTATGCGCCAAGTAAGTGCGCAAGGCCATCCCTTGTCTGAAAACTGCCAAAGTGCACTCAATGCACTCTAAATCCACACTATCACTAATACTGCTTCTGAGCAGTCTTTGAGGCTAAAGGGCCGTTCACACCAAGGACGATATCTATAAAGATAACAATAAAGATATAGTTCTAAAAATCATTCTCAATATTAAAGAATAGCAGAGATAACGAGCATTTAAAGCGGCAGACAAACATGCACTTAGAATAAACAGAATGATATCGTCTGCTGGTGTGGACGCTAATATAGTTATCTTTGTAGTTATGGATCTTTGTGAGAACGGGCCTTTAGCGTATTCCGTTATTCATCACGTTCAGGAAATTACATGCCCCGATTTCGCGTCATGTGAAGAAAAACTTTCCAGTGTAAGTTGAGTTGATTAAAAGTTACCTACAATTTGGTTTTAAAATGTAAAGTGTTGCACATTTTATTGTTGCAGAGATTTATATGTATTTTGTAAAACGTTTGAAAATTAAGCACCACAGTCACGCAGTGATTAAGTGTGTCCTATTGAGTAAACACTTGCGGTCTTCACCCCCATTCGAACACTATGGCCGAACTCCGGAAATACGTAATCTAAGTAGACAAGTGGTCAAGTGCAAAAACCTCAAGTGTGGGTATTTGGACAGGCCCTCTGATTAAATACTTCTCCACTAAAGTTTTTTGATGTTCTTTTATACGTCTGAATTGGTGTACAACTAGAAATTTACATCCTTCACTAACAGATCTGATTGATAAAACGCACCTGATAAAAAAAAAAAATCGTCTCAGTAATTTAATGACATGCATGATTTTTCTGATTAAAATTGCAGTTTAAAATGCCATTTTTAAAAAATCCAGGTGATTTATATATCAAAACTACAATAATAATAATGTTGTTGTTGTTATTATCACTAAATAAAAATCACTGTATAAAAACAAATAAGAAATATTACTTTTGTAATATTTCAATGTAAAATAAAATAGAGTATTTATGGATAGGATAATATAATAATAATAATTTAATTTAATTTTACGTTACATTATTTTACAATTATTACAATACTAATATTTATGGCTGTCTTAATTTCTTCATTTTCAAACCATCAAAGCCCTTAATGCTTCTCTTTTAAGCGCTTCTCATTTACAAGAATGATGAGATGGTCGGCGCATGTTGCGTTATCAAATGCATTAAGCAAATGCAGATGCAGAGATGGAGTTTGTGTGGAGCAGCATTTACTGTAAACCGAGCTGCTGCAAACTCGGGCAGATAATGAGATTCTCATGCATATAAACACACTGAAACATGCAAGCGCACACATTTCATTAAATTGAAGCGTCTGCAATTTTTTTTATAAAATCGCATTAAGCCGTATTGCGATCTTAGTGTACATCCTTACTGCAAAAAAATTATTTTCATACTCAGTTTTTTTGTCTTGTTTTCCAGTACAAATATCTGATCATTCTTAAATCGAGATACATATACTCCAGATATTAAGTCTTGTTTGCTAAAAAAAAAAGAAAAAAAAAAAAGGTACAGTATGTAAATATTCAGTATGTATATTTCGTGCAGTTGTGTACTTACAATATCCCAAAAGTTCCCAAAGATTTTTAATTTCAGAGAAATTCCTACTTTACATAATGTCTCGTCCCTGGTCATTGTCGCCTATCAATGACGTAATATCCGCGTTATCCCTGGTTTCCCCTCGTACTGCCATAGTAACCATGGCGACAGACGTGGACAACTGCGTTACATCTAGCGGCACGCTCACGCTGTTGTTGTTTCGTTCAAACATTACGGACCATGGCAAGCAGACTTTGGGACAAAAGGAGAACTTAAATGAGGATCAATATCAGCGTGGCGCTCTCGAGATGCCAAGAGCTTCACGTCCGCAACAAACTTCGACTTGACAGACGCCACTCTTGCATGTACTTTATTAGACAGGTGAGCAAATATACATAAAACTAATCAATGTTATATAGCTCAACATGATGAAATGTTAGAATATGATCTGTATGTTATCCTAATGTTGATCTAGCTTACTGCCAGTCTCATATACCCAACAAACTAACACATAGAATACCATTATAACTTTCAACACACTCAAATGCAGTTTAGTGTGATAATATAGACCAAGCAAAACAGCGTTGCGTTTCCTCACAAGATTCATTCGTCTAATAAACTGACCTGTGTGAGTAATTCTGCACTTGCGTATAGTTCGGTAGAATGAAATGTCCTTATTCCTTTATATCCGCGGGACTTGAGTGTGGCGCTGATCTGTCTCTCATTAGCAATCGCGACCTGCTTCATACCACAGTCATGTTAAAAACATCAATGTATTCACTCATCCATAAACATTATTAGATCAATCGGCATGACAGCAAGTCCCATGATTCCGCTTATCACTGGATCATCAACCTACGCCTTTGTTATTGGAAGAGGTTAGCGACCCCTAGCGGCGAAAAAAATGACACATTTGTAGCTTTAAGTGGGTTTATGCTTAAAACAAGAAAAATATTGGTTAGTTTGGCCACAAATGAAAATTCTGTCATTAATTACTCTCCCTCATGTTGTTCCAAACCCGTAAGACTTTCGCTCATCTTCGGAACAGAAAGATATTTGTAATGAAATCTGAGAGCTTTCTGTCCCTCCATTGGCAGCTACGCAACTACCACTTTCAAACCTCAATTTTATGAACTAACCCTTTAAGAAAAAGAAACTTGTTTTTACTTCGAATTAAGTTTATTTAGCATGTTTTACCTATGATGTCTTATACTGTGTTCCCCAGCAGGTGGGAACTCAATGGGAGTGAACGGTGGAGCCGGGGCTCCGATGACGAACCAGCATTCGGGAATGCTGCCTGACGGCATGTTGCACAGGAACATGACGGCTCAGAGGTAGTAAACATCACTGCCATTCAGTGGACCGGCACCTGCTTTAAATAGGTTGGTCAATGTAATTTTAACGTTGATGTTTGATGGTTTTTCTCTCTCTTGCAGTCTGATGAATGACGCCTCTGGTATTGGTAACATGGGTTCTGTAGCGACGGCCACGCCCCCCTCTGCAGGAATGAGGAAGAACTGGCATGAAGACATCACACAGGATCTCCGGAATCACCTCGTACACAAACTGTGAGTGATACACACCCACTTAGACCAACTACTGTCATTTTATGCACCCATTATTATAAATGGACGTCAAAAATGTTTATTAAAAATGGTAATATTGTGAAATATTATTACAATTTAAAATAACAGGTTCAATTTGAATATATTTTAAAATGTAATTTATTACTGCGATGGTAAAGCTGAATTTTCAGCATCATTACTCCAGTCTCAGTGTCACATGATCCTTCAGAAATCATTCTAATATGATGATTTGGTGCTCACTCTCCATAAAATGATTTAAAAATCCTTATCTACTAATCATCACACACAACTGGGAAGTCACACATTAGGTGCTGTTTAATTCCATGAGCTCGTTCTCAGTCACGTGTGTGTCTGTGTGTGTGTGTGTGTGAGAGTAGTGTGCAGGCTATCTTCCCCACTCCAGACCCTGCAGCACTGAAGGATCGGCGGATGGAAAATCTTGTAGCTTATGCACGCAAAGTGGAGGGTGACATGTACGAATCTGCCAACAGCAGGGTAAGAAAACGCTTGCACAGTCTCATGTCTGTGGATTATATTAGCAGAATATCTGAAGGAATTGACAGAATCACTTGTTTCTTCACTTTTTACCCATGACACAGATGTCACAGTTGGACAGAACACTGAAAAAAACAGCCTAACCAGGCACAAATACGTCCATACATTTTTCTGTCTTCACTAAAAGCGCACGAAAAAGACTTTGAACTGAATCAGTGTACATGTTTTAAACCGAATTGTTTTAAACATGAATGTTTATCTCTTCCAGGCGGAGTATTACCACTTGTTGGCGGAGAAGATTTATAAGATTCAGAAGGAGCTGGAGGAGAAGAGGAGAACCCGACTGCAGAAGCAGGGTATGATGCCAGCTCAGCCTGACATGCCCAACAGTGCTCTACCTCAAGCACCAGCTGGCATGAACCAGGCACAGCTGCCTAGTACGTACACATACACACCTGCATACAGCCATGTATGGCTACCCGTCAAAATAAAAACTTGATGCATGAAACGGAAGTTTTCTTCCCTTTTGTGACGTCTATTTGATTGAAACGGCTTCTCAAACAACAACTAAATTTTGTCTGTAGGGAATTGATTGGATGGTTGTGGTTTGCTATTGCTGTGATGTCATGCGAGTGACAGTTTGTCCCGCCCTCACGCCAGTGAACACATCATCAGAGAAGAGAAGAGATGACATTGCAAGAGGCTCCCTCATTTGGGAGGTGACTCCCTCATCATGAGGAAGTCATTTTGATCAATTTACAAGTTTTTACTTTTTAAAAAATAAGAATCCGCTTTTATAATAAATACTGCAGTATTCCATAAAAGAACAAAAATGGTCAATTTTGATTTCATGGTGACTTTTGACATGCGGAAATTAAAACATAAATATTCGTATTGTAATTTTACAGCAGTATATTTTTTTATTAAATACTCATTTTCTTATTTTAAGATACAATTATTGGAGTATTACAGTATTATTTTGTTTAATATATTTAATAATAATCCCAATAAAAATCCCAATTAATATTATTTTATAGTGAATTGTTTAAAAACAGTGGGAATGTGCTGAATGCAATCTCAAGTCAAGTGGAGAGTTTTTTTGTTTTGTTTAACTCCGCTCACTTTATGGTTACTGAAAGAGTTTTGAGTTGGTTCTTGTAAAGAGTTAACACCCCCCCAAAAAATATACTCCAGCTCTGAAAGGATCAAAAGCTCCAGCTCCAAAAAGTCTTCAGGAGTAAAGGCCCAATCACACCATGAACAATAACTACACTGGTAACTATAACGATAACTATATTAGCGTCCACACCAACGCATGATATTGTTATTTCTTTTTATTATAAGCGCACGCTGCAGTTTTGTTGTCTGTCTGCTTTTAATGCTCGAGCTCTTCAAAGCAGGATGGATTCTGATTGGCTGTCAATGGTTTTATCGTTCATCAGCTGGACAAAATCTTTCCAAAGTTTTCGTTTCTCTGTGCCATTATAGTTGTGGTGTAGACTCTGGTATTCTTTTATATATTTAGAATGATTTTTAGAGCTATATCTGCATCGTTATCTTTATAGTTATCGTCCTTGGTGTGGACGGGCCTTAAAAAAAAAAAAAAAAAAAATTTCATTTTGCACTCTCCAATAAAATCACCCCACTCATTCTACAATGATTCATTCTTTAGAAATGTAGCTATTAAAGTCATTTGGTGAACATTCCTGTATTATTTAGCAGAAAAAGTAAATATCACATTGTCGCCGCCCGAGCACAATCGGACACTGATTTTTGTTATTGATTGCATGGAATGGTTGTAATGGATGTTCTGATCTCTCCTAGATGGTCCCCATTCAGATCCGCCCTTAGTTCAAGCCACTGGACCCAATCCGATGGCCAACCGCATGCAGAATCCTGCTGGTATGGCACACTCACTAAATGGTCTGTAGTTGAAGAACAGTTCTTTTGAACATCCTTAAATAAATCCATATTTTTGTGTTTGTCTTTTTTTGTGACTTTCATTCTCGCTCATCCGTGCAGGTATGAATCAGTTTGCCCAGGTGGGGATGCAGCAGCCAATGGGTCAAAGGGCAACGCCGCCCCTGCCGATGGGAACAAACCTCAATCAGGTAAACTCACTTGTGACCTGAAGGGGGACGACTGATTTAACTTTAAGTGTTTATTTGGTGTCTTTATTGTGTATTTTTAGATGAGTATGCAGGGAACACCTCGAATGGCTCAACCCAACGTACCCCAGTTACAAAACCAGTACATGCAGAACCAGTTTCCAGGCACGGGTGCCGGACTGGGCCAGGGTGTGGGTGGCCTGAACCAACCTGCAGGGCAGGGAGCCATACCACAGGTCAGCTATTAAAGCACATTCATATCATATTACTCAGTACAGTTTGATGTCTCTAATGCATCTAATACTTTAATATGATTCGTCTTTTGGTGGTTATAAGAGTGTATAACAGTTTTTCTGTTATAATCTATTGTGAAAGACAATAAACATTGACTAAAATGCTCAATTTTAAGAAAAATTACTTTTTCATTGAGTAACTTTAGCATAACTTGAGATTTATTAAGTTAGAATTGTCTCATTGAAACCTCTTTTGTTTCATGTTTCACCTCTTGTGTTTAGTAATGTTGTGTGTGATTTAGTGGTACTTAAGTGTACTCCTAAAACTTAATGTTAGGATGGAAATAAGGATGGATGATGTAGCCCAGCATTAACATTGAAAAAAAAAAAACTGTTTATACACTATTATTTAGCAAGGACACATACAATTGATAAAAAATAAAGACATTTATAATGTTACAAAAGATTTCCATTTCAAATAAATGCTGTTCTTTTCAACTTTCTATTTATCCGGAAAAAAAGTATCACAGTTTGCACAAAAATGTTAAGCAGCTGTTTTCAATATTAAGAATATTTCACAGTATTACTGTTTTTTTTTTTTACTGTATTTTTAATTAAATAAATGAGCATAAGATAATTTTAGCAACTTCAGACTATTTATATAATATATTCAACACAACTATTTGGACCAAGCAGCCATTGTCGCTAAATGGATTGAAAATGTTTAATGCAAAAACTAAAATACATTTAAAAAAAAAATCTAGTTTAGATTAACGGCATGTTTTTTACTGATAGTTCTTCACTGCAGAAACTCAGTCATTTGTCCATATTTATGTTTGTCCAGCTCAGAACTGAACTGAGCTGGTCGATGACGTCACTGTTTTCTCCAGAGCAGCTATATATATATATATATATATATATATATATATATATATATATATATATATATATATATATATGAACTAAATTAATAACTTTTTTACAACAAAAATGAACCATCACTGAACTTACTTAAGCTGGACTATGACGCTATTTTCTACTAGATCTGCTGTATAGCAGTAACAAACCCTGTTGCATTATTTTCCTGTTATCACTGTAAAGCTGCTTTTAAACTATCTGTATTGTAAAAAGCACTATATAAATAAAGGTGACCTATATTTATTTATATGTTCCAATGTACATGGTTATACACAAATACTCAAACATTTTAATACATGAGGTGACCCAAGTGAATTACTGAATCAGTTATTGAACTGATTCATTGTAACTGATGGTTTGAAAGAACTGATTAGAGATTGGTGAAACAAGAAGTCTTCAGGAAACTTGTGATCACTGCAGTATTGATGATGTTATATCACCAAAAAAAAACTATCAGGAATATGTCGTAAATAATAAATGGATCGCCCAGCTCTTGATGTGTAGTAATACCACCCAGTTAACTCTGAATTTTGTTTGTTGTCTTTTTCCTCTCTCAGAATCAGATGCCCACTCCTCCATCGCAGGCAGTCAGAAGTCCAGTAGCTCAAACTCAGTCTGCAGTCTCTGGCTCTGGAGCCGCTGTTGGCCCTCAAGGGCCTCCGTCCAACCTCCCCCCACCTGCTCCACAGCCTGGATTGCATACGCACTGTCCTCCCTTACGCCAAAACTCCCCTTCTCCCGCACGCAGCCGCACCCCTACCCCTGCCCCTGCCCCGCACCAAACGCCCCCGCAGTTGCCGGGTAACCAGACGCCCCAGCCCCACACCCCCACTTCTTCAGCCACTATGGCCCCACCTGCAATGCAGCTGCCCTCGATGGCACAGGGGGTGGTCTCAGAAAAAGCCAGTCAGCTACAGCAGCAATCACATGGGGGCGGAGCCGCTGGAGGCCCCCAAACAGGGCTACCGTCATCTGTGCCTTCCCAGAACGCCCACGGGCTTAGTGCACACCCACACACTCCTGTGAGTATCACAATCGAGAATGTGTTTGTTTAGGGTGTTTTTGCTTGTATCTTCACATCTTCTCATAGGTTGACTTGTATGTCACTGAAGAGTCTCCATTTATCATTTTTGTTTGGATCTGCTATTCATTTAGGGACCTATGATTTCCGCGATGCGGACAAAATTATGGACCTGGAATTTGGATGAATAGATCAAATATAGGGCTTTACAAAAATTGAATTGCGATTATGGATAGTGTTTGTGAATGTATAACCCCAAAAAGACTGCTTTTGAAATATTTATTCTGCGTGTCTCGGTGTGAATGAATGGCGCAGTTTTGCCTGCTACACACTTACTCAAGCACGCGTGCCGCTCGTGGTGTTTTCAGCGTCTGTCGTCTCGCTATATGAGGACAGTCCACTTAAACTTCATCTTCAGATACACAAAGAAACTCAAAAGTCTTCACTACAACTCCGCAAAACAAAGGTTCTTAAAATGTATTACTATTGTACAGTAGAATGTACTTCTAAAAGTAATAACAACAGTAATAATACAGTTTATTGAAACATTTTTTAAATGACACAGAATTCCATCCATGTTTTTATTTAAACTGTAAACCGTTGTTGTGCAAGACGTTGTTTGCAAAAATAAAAGGAATCGTTCAAATTTAATTTTATTACATTTTAAAAGATTAAGGCTAAGGCCTGTTCACACCAAGAACAATAACTATATAGTAGGGCTGTCAAGCGATTACATTTTTAATCGAATTAAGCACATGATGTGCCAATTAATTAATTTAATTAATCGCACATCAAATTTGGCTAAGAAATTACCCCTGAAAGATAATTTTAAAGTCATTATTGTGTTAAATGAGAAAAGGATCAAATGGACATTACAGAAAGTAGTTTTAGAAAGAAATATTTTATTGTATTCAACACAGAATTTATTACACAAATTTTAAGCTACAACAAACATGAGCGGGAGTAAATGTAAATAAACTGAATTTGAATTTTTGGGTAAACTATCCCCAAAATATGAAATAATTTTTTTAACGAAATGATACACTAAATAAGAAACTAAAACTGCCAGTAGGTGGTGGTAAATGTCTAAATGAGTAAGTCATTGAGTCATTCATTCTATTTTTCTCTCAAATGACTGATTCATTCAGGAATTAAGCCTCTCTTTATGAATGGGTCATTGAATCACTGGTTCACCCATGGATTCATTCAGAAGAGAAACACCACTGAGTTCTGCTCTGACTTTATAGGTAATATTTTAGTCGGCAAAAACAGACAATATCGTGTCTAAAATAAAACACTATAAACTAGTTCTTATTTATTGAACTGCTGTATAAAATCAATATCACATTTACACTCGTGCTATTCTGGACAAATTGCCCTGCTTCATGTTTGTCACCAATCCAACTGTATGAAACAAATGTAAGATGACCAAAGTAGGCCTGGGCTGGTGCATTAAATGTGTTATGGAAAAATAACGTGCTAAAATGATTTAGCACCTAACTAATTTATTACATTAACGTTAAATCGACAGCCCTATAAAGATAACTATAACAATATCTATATTAGCGTCTACACCAGTGGACAATATTGTTCTATTTATTCTAAGCATGCGCTGCAATTATGTCATCTTACTCTTTAAATGCTCAAGCTCTTTAAGCTGGATGGATTCTAATTGGCTGTCAATGTTTCGTTCTGCAGCTGGAAAAAAATTGTTGTGAAAGTGATTCCAACGATATGGTTTCTCTGTGCCGTTATAGCTGTGGACTCTGCTATTCAAACCCTCTTTTGGTGTTAAAAAAACTACTGTCAATTGGCGCTGAAAAGGCATGGACAGGGTTATTTTTTGCGGCTGACCTTATTGCGTATGCATTTGTCGCAGTTCCTAGCCTGGCATGCCAGACCTACATCAAGATGTTAGGTCTGGGAACTCTCCATTGACATGCCTCAATCCGAGGGGCGGGATAAACGGTTACCTTTCAAAATCCCTCTGCACGCAATAGGATAACGCTACAACCAACCAGAGCAACGAACGGCTGTGGATGAGTGAGTCCCATGCGTTTTTCCACCAGCGGAGCTAATTGATATATTAAACATTTGCCGTATCAGGTCGGCAAAACTCCGAACACATCTTCCTTTTTTAAGAATGACTTAAGTGACGTTCTCTTAACTCCAAGTCCTCCAGAGTCGCGGCCAAAGCCGATTCGAAAGACCGTTGCATCTTCATTGTTTTCAAGTAGCAGGGAAATCACCTATGGAAATCACGCGGAACATCATGAACTGTGCCGTCATTGTGTTAAGCCCCCCCGCCGACTCTATACACGATGTGATTGGCCTGACCAGTTTTTGGTTTTTCCAGCTCAAAAGCCTATGGAGAGTTGCTAGACCACACTGGCTGCGAAATAATTTTCGCTGCCGCTAGGGTGCGTCTAGATTTCTAGGCTACGCAGTTCCCCTTTCAGACGCAAAGTTTATGGGAGGAGAGTATTTAAATGAATCACGCAAGGTGATTTACTAAGGTTTGCGCTAGTCAATTGACTGGTATTTGCGCTGTTATTTACCGGCCAAAAAAAAGCATGTCTTAAACCAGACGCTAATTTGCGCTGCTCTTGCTAGATTGTGTTGGTGATTAGGGAAATGATCCGGCTGCGTCTGTTCTTTAATTTGCGCATCGTCAGTAGATCACGCACAGAACTTTACACTTCCATCTGCGCTTTTTTAGAATGGCGCTCGCGCGCTAATTTACCCTGTTTAGTAAATCTAAGCCCTATATCTTTAGCTTTATAGATATTGTCATTGGTGTGAACAGGCCTTTAAACTTGAGTGTATTCATTTGATTACCACAATTCTTTTGATAATAAATTTGATCAAACTCAGAATCCAGAAAAAATCAAACAGACAACAGATATTCTGAGAGAATAAATCATTTAATAGAGCACTATTATTGTTGAAAATAATAATGCGTGTACTAGTATGAATGTAATCCTGACATTCACGTGAAAAATTAGCTAATTTGAAAGCTGTCATGCGGATCGGGGAGCAACTTTAACTCTGGTCTGCACTTGTTTGGGAAGTAAAGTAACATGCACTTGCATTGTAGCTGATGACGACGTCATTAATTCAACGAAACGCATGTAGGCGATAACAGTGATGAGGATTTGATAAGAGCGAGAGTGAGCGTGCCGCGTAATCGTGCAGAGTGAATGTAATCAGAGCAGCAAACGAATGACCCGAAATCAGCTGTCTCCTCAAACAAGACCGAGAAGCCGCCTTCATGCAACATACAGTGACAAGAGCCATTCACTCTTCTGCCCATAATAGCACCATATTAAATGTTTGGAGGTTTGGAGTAAGTGTGAAACCAGACCAACGCTGCGGGAAGCTGTGGAACAATTGCTCTTAGATTAGATTTTGTTTGCTATTGGCTGTTCCTACTGACTTGTTTGCCATTGACTGTTCTCTTTCCTCCTGACTCGCTTATTATTTTGGCTATTTGCTCTTACTCTGCTCCTCCTTTGTTTTGTTCCCACCGTCAGCTGTCTCAGAAGTCGTCTTTAACTGCAGACGGTCAGGCCTCGACTCCTGCATCGGTCAGCAGTGCTGACCCTAGCTCACAACTGACATCATCCGAGCCCACCGCCCCACTTGACCCCAAAACTGAGGTCAAGCAGGAAGAAGAAGATGAGAATGAGATGGAGGATAAGGCCTCAGGGAAAATGGCCGCCATGCAGACAGAGATTAAGACGGAGAAACCAGAGGTGAGCAGGAAAACACAATTACATCTAAAACAAAAATACACTTTTGAATCTGTTAAATCCGAGACATTCGGATGAATGATTCATTCCCTAACCTTATTTTGATCGGTCTGCTTGATAAAGAAGGAGGAACCTGCAAGTGATGAATGCAAGACAGAACCAATGGAAACATCGACTGGGTCGACAGCTGAGGACAAGAAGCCGGAGGTCAAAACCGAACCCAAAGAGGAAGAGACTGCGGGAACGAACAGCACTCCCGCAAACACACAAAGCAAGAAGAAAGGTAAAACAAACTCGTCCACACATTCGCATATACTTTTGTTTTAGGGTAAATCTTTCATCCTTAAAGTTGATGTGGCTTTTCTATGTTAAAATACCTTTGCAAGTGTAATGTGCTGAGAAAACTATATGCAAGCCTTTGGTAGACTGTAAACGTGGTGCTTTCGCAACAAATTGTCATTTATATATACCGATATATATGTGTGTGTGTCATTTTTAAATCAATAGTTTAAGTTCGATTGTCATTCACAGTGCTTCATGGGATTGTAGTTCTTTCCCTCATTAAAACTATCAAATACACAGTGTTGTACCTTTTGTCTTTTTGTTTAATTTCCTAATAATTTTGCTTTAAATCAAAGTGTGTAATGTTGTGATAGCTGGTTTATTTGGTTCATTGCTTATATCTCTTAAACAAAGACTTTTAAAAAGTACATATGGGAAAATACGTCTGGATCCAAGGCCTCGCTCTATGGTGTGAGACTTTCTGTTTCTTGACTACCTGTTATACAGGGGGCTGTTTGGGAAATATATATTTTTTTATTATTCTGTTTGGTGAAACTAGTGCCACAGGAATCACATGCTTCACCTTTAAGGATCCTACAGACGTTCTTATATAATTTGCATAAATTCATTAACCAAAGCATCTTACAAAAAGGGAAAACACCACACAAGAATTGGTATTGTAATTCATTTTATATGGTGTTAAAACTATGGAAAAACATCAGGTCTCATTGCATGAAATCTACTAATTCTGATCTAGAATCAGCAGGTGCTTGTTCATATTCCTTTTTCGCAGTTTAATATGAAGGACAAACACTGCTTTGAAATCAGTACTTATGATTTTCATATGAATATGTACCTGATTCCTGACTCTGCTGCTTCCTTCATTTCCTTCCTCTCCATCAGTCTTTAAGCCCGACGAGCTCCGCCAGGCTTTAATGCCCACTCTGGAAGCTCTGTACAGACAGGACCCAGAGTCGCTGCCCTTCCGGCAGCCGGTGGACCCCCAGTTACTGGGAATACCCGTACGTATTCGAACTAGTAACAAAACTAACCTGGTAAGGGCCTGCGCTGGCACGCATTATGCTACAAACAACCTAGCACTTTTCAGTTCTAGTCTCATTACTTTGTCTTTTTTCTTTTTTTTACCTTTACCCCTCTCTTCCTCTTCTGCCTGCTGTTGTGTCTTGTGTGTGTGGATGTGAGAGAGACGTTGCAAGCTTGCTTTTGTAGCGTTTCTGTCAGAAAAGAAGAGTGAAAATAAGGCAGCGCAGACTATGAACATCTGTTCTTGCGGTCGATGCGTCTTAATCCCGTAAAAAAGACACATCAGGAGGATTTAAAACCTTAAAGCTGATGTTTGGAATTCTTTTCACAAAAATTTTTTAGATTAATGTGCTGATGTGATTTTTTGACCAGTCCAACAGCACAACTTTGATTGAACCAATGGTGTGAGGTTGGGGTGGGACTAATTTTGTATTTTTTTTTGGTGAACCAGTAGCTGACAGGATGTTTGGGGAACTTGTTTAAAAAAAAAATTTTTTATCCAATGGTGATGTTGATGCTGCAAATATTACAGACTTTTAATTTTGTTTTATTTAAGCAATTTACTTAAACTGGGGAATGTTATGTAGATGTGAAATGGTGAAAATGAACTGCCACTTTGAACTAGTTTGTTTTGAATCTTATTGCTCAAATTGGCAATAAGTCTTGCTGGTTGTTTGGCATCAACAAAATGAAACCGCTCTGAATGATCTCATAACCTGTGCTGGCCTTATTGTCTTTGCTCGTTTAGTATAGTTTTTGCTGTCATCTGCTTAAACTCCATGTAGCTCATTATTTTACCCTGAGCTTTAAACCATCACATTTGTTTTATTTTGCCACATAAAAGCCTCATGCTAAGTCTACCATCAATCCCCCGAGTTATGGCCAATTTTTTATTTATTTTTTGGCTATAACCAGCATAGCAGATTAAAATTTATACACTGATCAAGTACAATTGGCTTTCATTTGTGTTAAATAGCCAATGTTTAGTGTCATGTGTTGCAGTTGACTGAAAATGAGTTTCCTGCTATTCTGGCTATTTTGCTGCTTTAGCAGTGATTTGATGAAATGATGCACTGGCTCCATTTAAGGTATGACAAGCAAACATTACAGACAAAGAGAGTGATGTTTGACCTAAAAATTGAACTTTCGGCACCATCTTGCAGTTAGCCATTCCACCACTGCCACCAAATATCACCAAAAACCCCAAAATACAAAGTTAATTTGAACAAAATGTCTATAAAAATCACAGACAACTAAAAAAAGTCCGACATTTATAGGTCAAAAGGTGTGGGAACCCTGAAGATAAAATAACTCAATAATGTCCATGTGTAACTTCAAAGTACTTCTAATGATTCTAGGTTTATTCACTCTCTTCACTGGTATCAGATCAGTGTTTGTTCATGTATGTTTGTTTGAAACACCTGTTTGTCCTGGCATTTGTGTCGCCCCCGTCGCGTCAGTTTGAAGGACTCGTATGGTTGTGTGGGCAAAGATCAGGTGACTATTGTAAACACTGTAATTTCAATATTTTAATAGATGTTATTGCAACATGTCAGATGCTGCTGGTGGTGGTTACAGGAACCCTGCAGAGATCTTTTAATATGAACCAAACCTCTAAGTAAATTGCTGTAAAACTCAAAAAATCCTCTTTGTGGCACACAACCTGAATACTGTGGGGTCGACACCTTGAAGGAATGTATTTTTACTGTGTCTTTGATGATTTGTGCTGTTGGACTGTAAAGAAGGGAGTCCTGCTGTGCTTTGTTGTGTAAATGCTCATAGCTGCGCTAATGTAATTTAATGTGTCTGTGATGATATCACCTCGCTTGTTCTCACCTTTAGCTTACTGTACCCTAAACGCTAACCCTGCCAACATCACCCCCTAGAAAGCCTGTTTGTTTGGCGAAATGGATTCATTTTTCATCCAGGCTGTCCTCCAGATGTGAAATGAATACACCAAACTTGGATTTAAAATTAAATCTTTTGCTTTAAACTAAAAGTGAATTGCTTTAAACAGAGCAATGAATTACATTCCTAATGGTTACAGGGTGAATCTCATGAAGAAATGCCCGGATCATATTTCACCCCAAAATCAAAAGAAAAACAATCAATTATATTTAGCATAAAGTAAATAGTTTATTTTTGGGACCTATATATAGTGACAATTAAGCACATCTGTCTTCATTTTTTAATCTATATTAATACAAATAATATTTATTGTTATCAATTTTTTTTTTTTTTTTTTAAATCATATATATATTTTTTACTGTAAATACTTCTATGATTTATACTTACAATTTAAGTAATATATCATTATCGCTTGGGGAGGTTAATTGTCATTTAATACAATGATATTAAATAAAATTGTCTTAAGTCTTAAAAATTTGCTTAATTTTCTTGACGCAAAATATCAATTTCCAGGCATTTCTTAACATTTTAAATGCGATTCAAACTACTATCTGATCACATTATGTTCAAATATCCCACCCCAGTTCGTCTGCCATCGCTGGCGCTGGCCCAGATTTGTGTGTGTTTTTCTGTGTGTGTGGGAGAACGGGAGATAAATAGGGTACAGATTTGAGTGAGGCAGTGGGAGTCTGTTACGTTTTTCTCTGTTTGTGCATGTGAACCTCTTCTACAGCGCTCAACATTGTCCCCCTGCACCCTCTTCTCTCCCCCTGATTCTCAACCCGCCGGGCCACCATCCATCGCTCCGTCTGACTGGAACTTGATTTCATCTCATGATGATAATGACAATGATGGCCTTCATCCTTCATGCTGCCTACTGTGATCTGGACTCCGTCCTCCAGGACTACTTTGACATAGTAAAAAACCCGATGGACTTGTCCACTATCAAGCGTAAGCTGGACACGGGTCAGTACCAGGAGCCCTGGCAGTACGTGGACGACGTGTGGCTGATGTTCAATAACGCCTGGCTGTATAACAGGAAGACGTCACGGGTGTATAAATACTGCTCCAAACTGGCCGAGGTGTTTGAACAGGAAATAGACCCCGTTATGCAGGAAATGGGATACTGCTGTGGAAGGAAGGTGAGCCGTGTGTGTCTGTGCATCACAGTTTTTGTGATGCACATTAATTAGCATTAATGCTAATAATTATTATTATTTTGTATTATTATTATTCATGTAATAATAATAATAATACTAATACTATACGAACATTATTGAATATGTTTGGTACTATGCAACTATCATTTGTAGTATCATTGTTTTATTATTATTATTAACAGTAATTCTTCCAGCAAGCAAAATTGCAATGCATTAAATGTACGTTAAATGCTTATTATTATCATTAATAATGTAAGTATATTACAATATTTTAATATACTACCATTTAATACAGAAATGTCATAATTAACTTATCACTATGAAATATAAAATTATTCTTCCAGCAAGTAGTAGTTAATATTTGCCTTGAATGTATATTAAATGCATTATTGTGATATAATTGTGTAAATATGCATTATTATATTATTATAAATACTTACTATTGTTATTTATTAATATGAATTATAATATACTACCCTATTATACCAAACTTATTTAAAAAGATAACTATAATTGGTAGTATTATTGTTTTATTATTATTATTAACAGTAATTCTTCCAGCAAGCAAAATTGCAATGCATTAAATGTATGTTAAATGCTTATTATTATTATCATTAATAATGTAATATACTACTATTTAATACCAAATTTAATGATATAACTTATTATTATTATGAAATATACAGTGATTCTTCCAGCAAACAGTTTAGTTAATACTTACCATAAATGTGTGTTAAAAATGCATTATTATATGATTATAAATACTTACTATTCTTATTAATTAATACGATTATAATACACTATCATATAATACCAAACTTATTTAAAAATAGACCTATTATTATTATTATTAATTAACATACAATGAATCTTCCAGCAAGAAATGTATGTTAAATATGTACTATATTATTATAAATTGGTACTATTTTTATTTTTTATACATTTTTGTTTTTTAATATTTTTATTAAATAGAAATATGACAAAAGATTACATTTATTATGTACAACAGCATTTTGCCACTTGTCACAGTGTTTTTACCATGGTTAAGTTGTGGTGTTTGGCACATCATGAGGTGGATTGTGGTTTATTGGTTTAATGTCATTATCTGACCAAAAATAATGGAATATTGCAACCCCACTCCCTTTCTCTTTCTTTGAACCCCTTTATCCCTCTTTTTTTCCATCTCTCAGTTGGAGTTTTCTCCTCAAACTCTATGCTGCTATGGCAAACAGCTGTGCACCATCCCCCGAGACGCTGCGTACTTCAGTTACCAGAACAGGTCAGTATTATACACACTATACACTATATTCACACTACACGCATAATCACTCACACCCTTTTCTTAATACTATGCAGTATAGCCATTCAAATATTGAGTTCTCAATTATATTAGAGCAATAATAACCACTTGAAAGTTCAAAGTGACTTAAATTGGGTCTATAATTGTACATACAAACTGAAGCAAGTTATTATATTCATAAGAATAGTTATATCATAGTGAATGTGGCCTGATGGGTAATTTACTGACCTCATCAGGCAAATCACACATTTGCATTTCAGCCTAAAATCAATTTCATGTGAAGCAGCCCAGCGGTAGAAGGAAGTGTTATGAAATCTGTTGGTTTAATAACACTTTATTAAACACTTTAAGACACACATATTCAGATTTGATAAACGTTGTGTTTTTGTATGTTAAAAGATTCAGGTGAGTGTTTTTGAAGTGTGCTTTTTGAAAATGTAAATGCTGTTCTGCTGTGAGCGCATATTTCCCACATCAGGGTGTTGTTGAATATCAGGCCTCTTGATTTGACTTTCGGTGGCGAAATAGACCACATTTCACATCTCTGCTCTTTTTCTGATTTTAAATGGCCATTTTAAAGAGGGTCTCCAATTCTGTTTTGAGGTTTTCGTTGATGTTCTTGCAGTTAACTTTTGTTGGCAGGTGTGTTGGCAAGTATTCGTGTTGATTACCTCAGTTGGTAGCTATGAACACAAAAAACAAAGTGCTAATAAGAAGGGGTGCACGATTCAGAAAATGTCACGATTCGATACCGATTTTTTGTCTCAAGATTCGATTCAAAATCGATTTTCGATTCAAAAACGATTCTCAATTCAAAAAACGATTCGCAGTATATAAATGTAGTTTACTTTTTCCTATGTGATTGATTGCAGTAGACACAATTTAAAAGAAAAAAAAAACACAACAAATTAAATGTAGTTTGATATTACTTTGTCTTCATACAAAAATAAAAACTTTTGCAACTAAAAAGTGCAAAGTGCCAAGCTTTGGCCAGCTTTCAAATACATTTAATTCAAGTTTAAAATAAAACTTAAATAAAAAGCTTTTATTTAGCTTTAAAGTGCTGTAGTCAGATCAAACAATTAGGCTAAATGTGGTTTAATAAGCACTACTTCAGCTACCAGGCTGACTGTTGAAATGTGAACTCGACTGGGCACATTGAACTTCCTAAAAATATACTAATGTCATAGAACCCTTGCGAAATTATTTTAAATAGATTTTAAAAAAGCCACCGCTACTGGTAACATATGGTTAGATTGATTTGTTTAGATCTAGTGAAGTCGTTCTTAGGCGTAATTTGCGGGTATCTCCAGTTAACTAGCAGAGCATTCATTTAGTTCGCTATTAAATAAGAGATCTGTTGTTTTTGAAATCAAGCTGAGCGCTCGTGTCCGCTGCTATCAGTGTCACGGATACAGTGTTCTCTGTGGCTCGCGCAGTCTTCACTCGGACGCGCGCTTCATATCGCCGTTGTGGTTCCGGTGAAATCTCAAAATATAAAATGCACACAAACGTGATGAACATATTCGGTTTTGATGAGAGAGAGAAAAAACTATACGAGTGCGGTTTAGAACCCGTAACCTCTGACACGCTTGGCAAAAGATCTACAGACCATTAAGAACTCAAACATAATCTGCGGATCGATGCATTTATTTACGGGTTGAGCAGAGAGGCTGCACAGTTTGACCAGCGGGCGGCAAGAACTTGCAATGTAACTATTTATCAGACCGGCCCTCGCAGCCTCGAAACACTACCGAACCACCGGTAAAAGTCCCGACTCAGCCGATTGGCACTCCGCCCGTGCACGCCATAAAAAAAAAAAAAAAGAATCGATTTTTGGAATTCTATGAATCGATTCTGAATCGGTAAAGAGTGAATCGCGATTCAAATGTGAATCGATTTTTTTGCACACCCCTACTTATAAGAAGGATGCACTTCCTCTAATGCATTAGTGAAAATCATTGCCAATTTTCTGACTTGCATCATTTTAGTCTTTACCAGGCGATTAAGAGTTTTGCAGATAGTATCTTTCACCAGAATTAACAGGTTTCGGCGTAAACAAATATACGTTTTTGTATTAATTTGGCTACTTTAGAGTTAATATGAAGCTCACTCTCGTTGTATAATTTTTTTTACTAATGTATGTTAATGCTACTATAGTATTTTTTATCTAAGTCAGCATAAAATCAATATGCTGATTTTATTAATTATTAATATTATTTGTGGCTTTACGCAGATTTTAATGAAATATTTGTTATTTTAAATCCACATAAAAACAACAATGATAATAAAATTATTATTCTTAAAACATTGAAAATAAAAGTTTATACTGTAACATTTTTTAATAATAATAATCAAAATAATATTATGTAACATAACATTAATTTGTGCTATATATTTTATTATTTTTAGTACAACATTGAAAATGTTATATTACAACCAATTACATTGTGTTATGTTAAGCTTTTACTTTTTTATATTTTATAAATAATAAATAATTTGTTATATTATTTTGATAATTAAAATCCTATTAAAAATAAAAGTTTATAACAAATGGGATAGTGTTATATCAGTTATTATTATTTTTAGTAAAACATTGAAAGTGTTATTTAATAACAATTACATTGTTATACGCTTGTATTTGTTTATATTTTAGCAATAATAAAAAAGGTTAATTAACATTAAATCATTATTGTTACATTAAAAATAAAAGGCTGTAATGTAATAACACTGTTATTATTATGTAATTGCATTGCCTTTTATGCTGCATTTAAATAAATTAATTCGTATGATGATCATGTCAAATCTCAATGGTCTTTATGCGAAATATCCTTTTTTTTATAGTGATTTTTATGGCGTCATGTGACCTCGATATGTTTTTTGAGATTGACACACAAAGTATAATATTTAAATTTCTGAAAATTGGTTAGGAGTTCTTTCACAAGAGTTCATGCTGCCAACTTCAGGGTGTACTAACTGTTCATCTGTCACACATTTTGTTTTGGTAATGAATCTTGGGACCCTCTTTAAAATGCACTGGAAGGATGATGGGTCTCTGTTGCTCCTGTTCTCATTCTTCTCATTCACTCTGTCCATTGTTGTCCCTCGCTCCTCTGGGCGTCACGGTTGTTTTGGAGCTCAGTGGACGTGAGGGAAGACCGTCTATGCTTTGCCTCGGCTTCCTGCTCTCTCTCTTTTGGTTTCCTTTACTTCTACATCTGACCCACCCCTCCACCTGTCCAACACTTAGCTCTTTGTCCCTCATAACGGTTTTGTTTCTCACACTTTTTTAAAATATTCATTCTGCCCTCCTCCTCCCCCCTTTCTCTCCCTCCTTTTTTAACGCTTGTGATGTCTGCATTGGCCTGCTTTGATGTGACCAATCATCCGCTCCGAAATTTACACGCAACCAATCAATCAATCTGCCCACACAAAATCCCTGCTTCATGATTGGCTGCTCCCGGCGACGAACCTGCCTTCTCCTGTGTGTGCCTGTCTCCTGGCCTGCCCTGCCCTGATTGGTGCCTGCTTCCACGTGCCCTCACTGTGATTGGCTGTGCTCTTGGCGAACGGTCTAGTTCACCCAAATATGGGCTTCTTGCTGACAGGTACCACTTCTGTGAGAAGTGTTTCAACGAAATCCAGGGGGAGAATGTATCCCTGGGGGACGATCCAACCCAGCCTCAAACGTGAGTAACCCATCTACAAGTTTGTGTTTTGATCTTCTGCTTCATTGTTATTGCCATGATGTTATTATTCCTCAGTATCTCATACCGTTGAGCGTTTGTTCAGTGATTCTCATGACCCACTCGATTGGGCGGCCTCCTCTTCTCTGTCTCTCGTTTTATCTTCTCAGGTCCATCAATAAAGATCAGTTTCAAAGGAAAAAGAATGACACCCTCGACCCCGAACTGTATGTTTGCTTTTTTACATATTTGCTCGCTCCGAATGTCTCAACTTAAGTTTGCTTGTAGTCAGGGTGTGGATTTGTTGTTGTCGTCGTCTGACCTTTTGTTTCCGCTCCTCTTCCTCAGACTGATGGAATGTGGCGACTGTGGTCGCAAAATGCATCAGATATGCGTTCTGCACAATGACACAATTTGGCCAGCAGGGTGAGCTACTTTTATTTGACACTTTCTACTTCAAAATAGGGCTAAAAAAAACTCTTAATAAATGGAGTCAGTGAATGTAAGGTTTTCAAAAAATTTTTTTGAAAACTTAATATAAAGTCAGCCTTTTTCATTTATGTATAGAGCAAAAAAGACCAGCATAACCAGAGATCTGACACCGTTTTCTGTGTTTTCAAATGTCCCTCTCTCCCTTAATCCCATCCATTCAGGTTTGTTTGTGGAGGCTGTCTGAAAAAAGCCAATGCAACAAGGAAGGAGAATAAATACTGTGCAAAGAGTAAGTGGCAGCTTTAAAAATCTGCAATCCCCAAAACTGTTTTTGCTTATAGAATGCCATTCTTGACCAATCAAGTATTGCAGGGAGCCATGTAATAAAAAAATATATATTGGCAGATCTTGAGTGTGACTATGCAGTGTTGCACTGTTTTATACCAGATTTTCATGCTGTACTATAAAATGCTATATTTGTGTTCTTTTAAACTCCCTGCTCTACTTTCTCTTTATCCCAGGGCTTCCTCAGACAAAGCTTGGTAACTACCTGGAGACACGAGTGAACGACTATCTGAAGCGTCATACTCATCCAGAATCTGGTGATGTCACCATCCGTGTGGTCCACGTCTCTGATAAAGTAGTGGAGGTCAAACCTGGCATGAAGTCCAGGTGAGGGACAGTGCAGAGTTTTATGTTGTTTCTTTTAAGGTTTTTGAATTTGGAACTGTTTGCTTTATTTAATGTGATTTGTATTATACTTGTGATTATTATGAAACACGACAATGTTCCATAACCTTACATGCAGTAATACACTTGTTCACACAATGATTTTGTCATTGAAGGTCATCAAGTTGCTGTATTGTTGGTTGTAGTAGGTATTTATACTACTGAATGCCCTAACCAGTGTTATTTTAGTATAATTTATGTACTATTATTGTATTTATTAATATTTTGAATTTGCTTTTAGTATTAGTTTTAGACTTAAAATTTTAGTTGAGGTTTTAGTCATTTTATCCAGCGCCTTTGTTTTCATTTTATTAGATTTTGTAATATTTCTTATTTATTTTTATTTGTTTCTTTGAGGCAACATTTGAATTTGAATTTGAAAGTTGAATTTTTTTTTTCATTTAAAATTTGTTTTATTTATTAAAGCTGCAGTCCGTATCTTTTCCTCTTTGTCGCCATCTCTCTGTTCGAAATCTGTAACTGCAGTGATTCGCGGAATTATTATCTTTACGTGGGTTGTAAATCGGCATGAAACAGCGCGGATGAACACAGTGCTTTGAGGCGAGTGCTGCTGTCAGTCACCGCGCTGTGTGGATACTGTCATACAGAATCACAGATTCACTTTTTGAAAGTTTGACCAACATAAGAATTTTCATAAGAAAATGTCTTCTGAACAAGTAAGTAAAATCCATTTTTGTTCTGACCAACTAAGGGGGAAAAAGCATTCGACATGATAAGCTTCGTTAGATTTAATCAACGTGATTTACAGCAACCGTGCAAATTATAGCCTACTTTGTTCTCAAATTGTTCATGTTAACAACATCAGCATTGCGTGACTAATGTTAAATTTAATGTGTTTTATGGTTACCTGCGTAGTTCAGAATTCATATTCTCCATAATAGCAAAACGAGAAAGGCACAACAAAGGAAACTCCATAACTGTGTGAATTAAGAAAACGTACTGTTACACGATTGAACTATTGAAATGTCTTCCTTGTTCAGCAGAAAAAAGCCGTCTCTTCTTCCGTTTTGAACCCCTTCAAAACACGGAGTTCACGCACTTTTCAAAAGCCCCGCCGATGTTTAAATCCTTGTGTTCGCATGAGACGGTTTCTTTCTCTTTCTCTAGCCACCTTAAATCCGAAGTACAAAATCTTTTGGGTTTTACAACTGCTGAATCTCCAGTTGACACTGATGATTGTTGTTTGGATCTTTCTGGATGCCATAAGTTTAATTATGTAAAGTGCTGCGAGAAAAGCCTATACATCTAAACATCTCGTCACGCGCAGTATAGCCGGCTAGCCGAAAGTCCTTCTTTATGTGTACGGGTGTGACGTCATGACGCAAAGACATGCTCGAATTTCCCGCGGAAACCCACCAGCACCACTGGAATTAAAATCATTATTACAAGCTAACCGTTTTGAATCTAGCTATGGCAAGCAGATAGTTTTGACCACTGGCAGAATAAGTTTTTTTTAATATAATTATTTTGGATTATTTTTAACTTAAAAAAGTTACGGACTGGAGCTTTAAGCTTTATTTGAATTAACAAAACATGTTTTTTAGTTAACAATAACAACTCTTCATCTTTGAACGTTATTCGACTGCAATAGCTTTTGAAAATCTAGTCAAAGGTGGGTATGCATTGCCTGTAAAAAAAAAAAAAAAGAAGAAAAAAAAAAGTTTTATTTGACAAGAAATCTGTTTGAGAAAAAATTTGAAAAAAATGTCATTCATGTCATTCAATTCATGAAAAAATTTACCAACTTTCAATGCATGAATCAAACTCTTGTAATGCCCACAATTTTCCATACTAAAGCTTAACATCTTTGCTTGCACTCAAATGTCTCGGAGGAGGCAGGTCACTGTTACACTCTTTTTTTCTTACTGATTTTAACTTGGACACAACTACCTTGCATTGCCATCATTAAAATTGAATGACTCCAGAATGCTTTGACTTCTTCAAATCACTTCTAAACTAAAGGCCTTTAGGCAGATGAAAAAACAACATTGCAATACCCAAGTTTGTATAGTATATTGATAGAAAGTGAATTAATGCATGAATCTTTGATTCAGTAACTGTAAAATATTACAAATATTCATGCTTGCTTAATTAAAAATTCCAGAGACCTCATTCCTTTATGGTAGTGTATTTTTCAGAAATGATCTTTTAATAGTCACCATGAAAAGATCTAAAACATGTACTGTCTTTCTATTACAGGTTTGTTGATAGTGGCGAGATGTCAGAGTCATTCCCGTACAGGACAAAAGCTCTGTTTGCATTTGAGGATATTGACGGAACAGATGTCTGCTTCTTTGGAATGCACGTGCAAGAATACGGCTCCGACTGCCCTCAGCCCAATCAAAGGTTAAAAAAACAAAGGCGCACACCGAATCTTCTCTCATGTGCACACGGATGGCATTACAAAGGGGTCTGAGAAACTCAAGTAACTTTGCGATCGATATCCTCTGTCTTTCTCTCTCTCTCTCTCTCTCTCTCTCTCTCTCTCTCTCTCTCTCTCTCTCTCTCTCTCTCTCTCTCTCCATGCAGACGTGTGTACATCTCCTATCTAGACAGTGTGCACTTTTTCCAACCCCGTCACCTGAGAACTGGAGTCTATCATGAGATCCTCATTGGATACTTGGAGTATGTTAAAAAAATGGGTTTTGTCACTGGCCACATCTGGGCTTGCCCACCAAGCGAGGGTGACGACTACATCTTCCACTGCCACCCATCGGATCAGAAGATTCCAAAACCTAAACGCTTACAAGAGTGGTACAAGAAAATGCTTGACAAAGCAGTATCTGAGAGAATTGTACACGACTACAAGGTACTGTAACAGCTGTACTTCTGATTGACAATAAAAGAAGTTTACACTTCAGTCAGCATACTGCACAATAGTCTTTTCCTTGGTACTTCTAGTCATTTACTAATTATTGCATGCTTCTCCTCACCTAGGACATTTTCAAGCAGGCAACAGAGGATCGTCTGACCAGTGCGAAAGAGCTCCCATATTTTGAAGGTGATTTTTGGCCTAATGTGTTGGAGGAAAGTATTAAAGAGCTGGAACAGGAGGAGGAAGAACGGAAGAGAGAGGAGAACAACACCTCTAGTGAAAGCATTGATGTAAGTGATTGACTAAATATGTAACCTACCTGGTACAAGTGCCAAAGGAAAATATTTGTTGGGCATAACATTTCTACCATCAACAAACTAAGTAACTTTTAAAGTACATCTAGAGAAACTGAGCAACTGAGCACATCCTTTGGGGTTTTTAGCCAGCTACTGTCCTCACTTGTTTTTGACTAGATGGTAGAGTTCATTCTGGTGCAGCTGCTTTAACACTTAATATTTATTCTTAAAACTTAACTGTTATAATGCTTATAATTAATGTCTTTTGACCATCTAGGCAACCAATGGAGACAGCAAGAATGCCAAAAAAAAGAACAGCAAGAAGACTAGCAAAAACAAAGGCAGCTTGAGCCGATCCAATAAAAAGAAACCAGGCATGCCAAATGTCTCTAATGATCTATCCCAAAAACTCTATGCCACAATGGAGAAACACAAAGAGGTATGTAGCTCCCACAAACATTTGAAGCATTTGTCATTACATGTTTGGGCCAAACTCACAAATATCAACACTCTGCTTAATTTCAAGGTTTTCTTTGTTATTCGTCTCATTGCTGGCCCTTCTGCCAATTCCCTTCCACCCATTTTGGACCCTGACCCCCTGATGGCCTGTGATCTGATGGACGGACGAGACGCCTTCCTGACAATTGCACGAGACAAGCACCTTGAATTCAGCTCACTGAGGCGGGGCAAATGGAGCACCATGTGTATGCTAGTAGAACTGCACAATCAGAGTCAGGACCGCTTTGTCTACACGTGCAATGAATGCAAGCACCACGTTGAGACACGCTTCCACTGCACTGTTTGTGAGGTAAGAAATGTCAGGTGGGATTGTACTTTGTCGGTGAAGAGGTTTAAAAAAATACTGAATTAAGCGACTTTGATGTTGGATAAAACACTGCACATTTTTTAACTATCCTTTTTTTTCCCTTTTATAGGATTATGATCTTTGCATCACTTGCTACAATACCAAGGGCCATGAACATAAGATGGAGAAACTTGGACTGGGTCTTGATGATGAGAGCAACAACCAAGCTGCAGCTTCCACTCAGAACCCTGGTGACTCGCGTCGTCTCAGCATCCAGCGCTGCATCCAGTCACTGGTGCATGCATGCCAGTGTCGCAATGCTAATTGCTCTCTGCCATCTTGCCAGAAGATGAAGAGAGTGGTGCAACACACTAAGGGCTGCAAGCGCAAGACCAATGGTGGCTGTCCCATCTGTAAGCAACTCATTGCACTATGTTGCTATCATGCCAAGCACTGCCAGGAAAACAAGTGTCCTGTGCCCTTTTGTCTCAACATCAAGCACAAGCTTCGTCAGCAGCAGCTGCAACACAGGCTGCAGCAAGCGCAAATGCTGCGTAGACGTATGGCCACCATGCAGCGAGTAGGGCAGCCACCACCATGTGGAGGTGGACCGCCTGGAGGTCTTCCATCACCCGGCAACAACGGGGCCACAGGTCCTAGCACACCAACATCGGTCGGTACACAGCCTGCAACGCCTCAGACACCCACACAGCTGACACCGAATCTTACGTCTCTGCCCCAGCCTGGTGTAGGTGGAGTACCAGCTGGAGCTCCCCAGCATCCTCCTCAGCATCCAATTCACCACCAGTATCAGCAGATGCCAGGTGCAGGCGGGATGATGACCTCACCACAGCACCAAATGGTTCCTCAGCAAACTTTGGGGCAAGTCCCGCATCCACACAATCAATATGGTCCCCATTCCACCGGTCCCTCTCCAAATCCACAGTCCCAGGGTAAACCAGGCCTTGGCCATGCGACTCCTCCACAACTCCCTAGCAACCCAGGCACAGCACCTATGTCCCAGCAACAGCAACCTTCAGGTCCTCCGGCTGCAGCTGTGGAGATAGCCATGAAGATTCAGCAAGTGGCAGATGCACAGCGAAAGATGGCACAGGTTCATTTGCTACAGAGACAGGCTGCGCAAGCTGGCATGATGCCACAGCACCAACAGCCACAGGGACAAATGGGAGTAGCCCACCCTGGTATTGGCATGGTAGGGCCACAAGGGTTAGCCCCGCAGGCACAAACATCAGTGAACAGGGTGCAGATGGAGCAGCAGCAAGGACCTCAGGTAATGATGGTGGGATCTGGGCCCATGCAGCAGCAGCAGCAGCCTCAACAGGCAGGTGTGCAAGGTCAGATGCCACCACAAATGCATCTACAGCAGCCGAGAATGAACCCACCACTTCAGCCTCAGCAGCAACAGTGGGCAGGGCAGAGTATGTCAGCCCAGCAGAGACCTTCCATGATGGCTCAGCCGGGAATGGTTGCAATGCAGCCCCAACCACAGCAGCAACAACCACAACAAATGCAACAACAGCAAGCACCCCAAATACCAAATCGAAATGCCTTGATGAGTATGGTGCAGGCTGGTCTGCAGAGTGGCGTAGCAAGCGGGGCAGCAGCTGGCAATCTGCCCCAGGGAGCCCTGCAGGAACTTTTGCGGACCCTGCGATCTCCAAGCTCTCCCCTACAGCAGCAGCAAGTTCTCAACATTCTTCGGTCTAGCCCACAACTAATGGCAGCATTTATCAAGCAACGGGTTCACAAGTATAAAGGAGGTACAGGTGGCCCTGCTGGACCACAGGGTGGACCTGGACCTATGGGAGGTCAACCAGTGGGTGTCCAGCCTGGGGTGGCCCAGCCTGGCATGCACCTTGGACAGGGTGTTAACATGCAGACTCAACTTTCTCAGATCCAACAGCAGCAGCAAATGCAACAGCGCCCGCTATTGCAACAGCAGCAAATGCAACAGCAGCAAATGCAACAGCGCCCGCTATTGCAACAGCAGCAGCAAATGCAACAGCGCCCGCTATTGCAACAGCAGCAGCAAATGCAACAGCGCCCCTTATTGCAACAGCAGCAGCAAATCACTGCCTTGCAGCAGCAGCAACAACAACAACAGCAGCAACAACAAGGTATTCAGGGCCAAGGGGCTCCAAACATGGCCAACATAAATCCACAGTTCAGAGATCTGGTCATGAGAAGGCAACAGCAACTACAGTTTCAGCAGCAGCAGCAACAACAACAACAGCAACAACAGCAGCAGCAGCAGCATCAAATGAGCAATCATGCCACATTTCAACAGCAGCAAGGGTACATGGGTCAGCAGGGTAACATGCAAGTCCCACCAGGAGGCCAACCACTACAAGGGGTGCAACCTGGCCAGCCGCAGAATTTTCCAGGAAACCCTGCACAACAGCAAGCTGCAGCTGCCTTGCAACAGAGACTTGCACAGCAACACCAGCTACAGATGCAACAGCAGCAGAATGCGGCATCACAGGGTGCCGACATGGGGCCCGGAGGAGGTCCACAGCCCACACAAGGAGGTCCCGGTCTTCAGACATCACAGGTATTATTGCAACAGGCCTTGCATCAGCGTCTGCTTCAGGCGCAGCAACATCATCTCAGTGGCACCTCACCGGCACAACCGAACAACCCCATGAGCCCGCAGCAACAGATGTCTCAGTCGCCCCATTTGCAGGGCCAACAGCTCTCATCCTCCCTCAGCAACCAGGTTTGTTCCCCTCAGCCCTCCCCACGACCCCAGTCCCAGCCACCTCACTCAAGTCCGTCCCCGCGCCTGCAACCACAGCCCTCGCCCCACCACATCTCGCCTCAGACCCAAACGGGTTCACCGCATCCCAGCCACCTTCAGCAGCATCACTCAGGCATGGTTCCACCTCCCCAACAGCCTCAGCACAACTCTAAAGACCCAGGCGGATTTGCTGCAGATCAGAATGCCATGCTGTCTCAGCTCAGTGGCATGGCAGGACTCCATGGACCTGGAGCTAATGATATGCTTTCACCTAGTAGCCAGGACCTTGGCATTAACATGAATCTAACCCTTTAGACATCATATAGTTATTATGAAATTTACAAAACCTCACCAGAGACAGTGTTAGCTTTTTTTATACTGCAAAGATACTTGCTTTGAAGATGGACCCTCCTATGAGAGATAGCAAATATTCGACACAAATAAGTATGGGGTGTTTTTTTCTTTTGCCAGTTGTGTACAAAGAGAGGATTGTTTCTCAGCCTCAGAGAACAAACCACGAGTAATATTTTCAATGTCACGTCCAGGGGAGTACTTTTCCTTTTTCAAGAGATATTTTTTAAGATTTTAAAAGTGGTATAAAATTAAAGTGCAAATGAATAAGGACTTTTTTTATATATATATATTTGACCATGTACCAGTCTCTGTTATGTTTTACAGTCATATGGAACATTTCAAATGTTGTGATGCCTAAATTGTTATTATAATTATCTCAACATCATGCATATCTTCCTTGTAAATTTTGAGTTTTGCATTTTATTTATTCTAGCTTTTTTCATTTGTTGTCATGATGGATTTTGTTCATGTGTGTTCCCAGAGACTGCTACAGTTCACATAGAATATATTTTTGTTAATACCTATTAAGATGGGGAGCTATTCCTTTACTTTAGCTGGAGATTTAGGTTATTGAGTATAATATAAATTACAGTGTTGGGGGATCGGGTTTGGTGTACGCTCTGCTGCCCAATGGATCTTATTTCATGCCATATTGGAAATTCCATTGGACATCACTGCTTTGCAACAGGACAAGTTTTTGGACTAACAACACCCACCCTCAGAATGTGTGTGCACTCCTTAAAAGACTTACTGGATAGTGGAGGTGTCTGTACAAGTTGGATGAAAGTTTGTGTGTGTGTGTGTGTTTGTGTGTGTATTGGATGTGGTGCTGGAATTCATCTGCTCGCGCCAATGTCATATTGAGCAGCGTTTCACATATGAACTGTATGGTGCGGTGAAACGATGAAGATGAGCAACAGAAATTTCACAAATTTCATCCTTCAATACCACTCCTAATTTTTCTCCACTTCCAGAATTTTCTTTGCTCTGAACCTTGGGAGTTTAATTTGAATATTTTGTACTGTACAAAGGAAACACAAACTGTGGACTTCTTACTTTTTTTTAATAAAATGAAGATAAATTAAATTTATTGGTAATTTATTATTGGGGATTATTTGAAGATTAAAATTTAACCACTTGCGTTTCTGCTCAAATCTTTCTCTTTTTATATGGCTCAAACAGATCGGCAGAATGGCAGTGCTCTTGGATTTGGTTTTGTTCAGCGCTGTTAGCCTGGTCATAGTTGACTCATCAGCCAGCTGTCATTGCTAGTTGACGTTCAGACCGATGCTAAAGAACCTGTTGCTCCTGCAAATGATGGTAAAGGTGATAAAGAGGTGATAAAGGTTCTAAAGAGATTGCCTGGTCAAACTGGTTAATATTAAATGGATTTGATGAAAGCTGCTTCGCCATAAAAAAAAGCAGATTTATGTCTCATTGGGACTATTTCTCGATATTGCGACTTTTGCAATTGCGACTTATTTTACCGTAATTGCAACTTTGTTTCTGGACTTGACTGCATATTCTGCAATTGAATAGATACTGAACATATATATATATATATATATATATATATATATATATATATGACCATTTTTTACTCTGAAGCAGAAATGGGCTTAAAACACCAACAAGTTTTACTCGCAAATGAAATAAAATCACCCACAACTTTTATTTTCCCATTTATTTGCTGTAAATACAAGCAAAAAACAGTGTAGTTGTCATATGTGAGAGCAACAACAGAGCTGACAAGCCATGTTCAACTATATCACGACCAAAACATGTCATTTAGGCTCGGCTTTGATTTCTGCCATGCTAAAAGCACACCTAAAGCACATGTGTTCAAATGAACAGGATCTACCCCTACAAAAGCGCCCACTGTAGCAGTTGTGAATGTAAACCAATACGGTCTCTTTAAAAATGCACAAAGGCCTCCGAACAGAGTGAAGAGAGCTCAGGCGCAGATATGGAAACAAAGCCAAGTGGCCTTTCCTTTTCCCACCTGGTTGTTTACAGGACAAAAGAGGCGATGTAACAGTAGTTATGTCTTCGATTCGGAACTTAAAAACAGTTTCTTCTCACAGTAAGTGTAATGACTGCTGCTGATGGAAAAGTAGTGGTACAGATATAAAGATTTGCTTTACATGCTTAAAGTCTTCGGATACAGCATAACTGAATATAATCAGAAATGTCGTCCTTCAACGATTATTTTACCACAACGACACAAGGACAATCTGAAGAGAAAAATGCCTTGTAGGTGTTCTTACCTTGCTTAGACAATATCTGCTTCACTACTGTGAACTGTTATTCACTTGGTCCTGACTACATGTACATAAATCTATTGTAATGTTGTTCTTGGGTTCCTTTATCAGTTTAGACCTCAAGCCGACAGCTGCTGAAGAAGCCTTCTGCAGTCACGGCCTCTTTAAAGGTCACGGTCAAGGAATTTATCGTCACCTGAGTCACAATGACTTTCTCAGGATACACTGTGGTGGTGGAGGAAGCAAGCGATTGGTCAACTGGAACCTGTAATGTTGTTGTGCATTCTGCTGTGACGTCATCATCTATTCTTTCCTTTTCTTTGGCCTCTAAGCTATCTACCTCACCTGTTTCTCTTACCTCTTCCTGTCCACATCTAGCGCTCAAATGTACCTCGATAACCGAAGGTCTGTTCTGTACTTTGTCAAACACACCTTCCTCGACTTCTGACTTGGTACTGTTGTGTAGTGATTGGTCAGTGTTTGTTGTGTCATGTGATACCCGTACAGAGTCCTCACCCCCTGCAGTGTTTGTGCCTGGCTCGTTCTTTTGTGTGTCGGAGATTGTACTGTTGTCTGTTGCTTCGAAAACTGGACAGGTGTCCTCGGTTGGCTTCTCAGCATAGTCAAAAATGGAAGCGCAGTTCTCAGTTTCTTGGATGGTAATTACAGATTCCTGTTCTGTGGAAGAGTTGTACACCTCAGACATCTCTTTACCTGGCAGAAAAACGACAGAAACTCGGAATAAACTTTCAAGGAACAGTTAATGTACAACTGAATGTTTTGTCATTATTTAGTCAGTCAACATGTCTAACGACTTGAGGATCTTTCGTGTTGCCTCAAGATAAGTCATTCTAGGTTTGATGTCAATGATCTTCACAGACCTGACAAAACCCGGCGTGATGCATATTTAACAGCAGGTTTGAATGCTATTGCAGTGGGGAAGATTTTGAATGCGAGGTTTGAATGCTATTGCAGTGGGGAACAATCAATTTTTATTTATTTATTCGTCACACAAGTATACAGTATAACTTCAGAAGAATTGGGATATAGTGCACGAGTCGAATGGACTACCTCGTGAAATTTGTTATTTTGAAAAAAAAAAGGGGCAAACTGACCTGGGTTGTTTTTTCCCCGAAAAACATCGTAAAGCCAAATAGATGGTAGAAACTACTGGCACCAATGGTCTCTACAATCTACTTAGGCTTATGATGTTTTTGGCTCACATATAGATTTGCTGCTTCAAGACGACGCATCCTGTTTTCACATCGATGGTTGATCACAAGACATGTTCAACGTGATTGTCAACAAACCTGACGCAACCTTGTGTCTTAAGATGGCAAGTTGACTTGAATGAGTTATGAGTGCTATGACGGAGGTTTTAATGGATTTTCCGCTATTTAAATGAGCGTGTTCTTCACACGAAAGGTGAAATGGCTTCAGAAGATTTTAAATTCACCGCACCGCACTGCTTCTACTATACGTTTATAGTTTGATGGCTTATTTATATCTTGCAGGTTTGGAATAAGATCATACTTTGTAATTTTTGGGTGAGTTACTTCACAGTTGAGCATATTCAATAATATTTCTCTAAATCACATCAAACACGTGTTAGCTAAGTGGTCACTGTGATTCAGAAATTCTGGCAATATTTTTCAGAATGGCCCTCATGACCCCTGAATATGTTGCATGCAGAGTATCTTAGCAACAGTTGCTGTATCAATGCCACACAACACCTACCACTTGGAATGTCCTGGTGCACTTCTGTTGTGTTTTCTTCATTTTTTCTCATCATCTTGACCTTTTTATTCTCATCTTCCTCGTCTCCATTCCACTCTTTCTCTGCAGAGTCTTTTGCAGGAAGTGGATGTCTGGTTGGTTGCTGGGATAGTTTGAAGTCATCCATGAGTTTGGACCTGCACTGCCTGTTCTTGCGTATTTCTATACGGCGGTAGCCAACGCCTTCTCTATAGCGCCGTCCATTCTGGTCTATTTCTGTCCCCATGGAACGGGTGAGTGATAGGCGGATTCTCGGGCTGGGTTTATCTGGAAGCTTGTGTGCACTTCGTAGGTCCATTGGGTAGATATTCTGTTTGGAGGGTTTGATTATGCACAAAAACAAAAAATACAGATACTCCAGCAGTTCTGGGACACTTAAGTACATCAGATTTATTTTATTATATGTATCAGATTTTGTGCATTATGGTTAAAAAAAGATCATAATCTCTTAAATTTTATATGAACTGCAACTGAACTTAATAATGAAGCTAACTCATACCCGCAGGATAACTCGACGTGGTCTCAGGCCTTTCCTCTTATAAGCCAGAGCTCTATCCTTCTCCTCTCTGTTAGAAAGAGAGACATATGCTAAGGACTGGGGAGATGGAAAGGAAAGAACATCCTCGTTGCTTAGCCTATTCATTTCCACATCAGTAACTGAAGGTTTCCAGAGTGTGACTTACTTTTCTTCGTAGGCGAGGACCAGACGAGGGTCCAATATGTTGTCCTCTGGTTCCCAGGTGCTGTACCTGACATTCACACAAACAGTTCCAAACAAATCATTGGAGCAGAACATGACCGAAACAGTTTCAAGCACAGATTATTATTTTTTGCCTGGCGTTTAAAGTTTAAAATCTACAGTCATTTTCGTCTGAAATGTTCATTTGAATAGTTCAGGGCTACTTTTAAATTTAAAAACCAGTAAATTGCCAAAAGGTTCTTGTAAATTAAATGAATTTATTCTTATTACGTTAAACACAGCATCCCATTGTCTTCTCTTGTGTGATATCCTCCTGAGAACCAGAAAAAAAAAATGTTTTGTGAATTTAGTTTTGTTACACTGTTTAGAGCATAACAAACAAATGTAATAAAGACTTTTTAGATTTTTTTTGTAGTTTATTCCTATGTTATGCTGTGTCCTCTGTAGAAAACAAAAAATTAAAAGACATGAATAGGAATTTTTTTTTTTTTCATTCACCAAACAACTTTTTTATCCAGATTTTATCCAAACTTTGTATACAAATGGTTCTCAACTATGTTATGAAAGATAATTATTTGATATACCATTTTACTTTACGCAATATGCGTGTAAACATGGCCACAAATGCCATTCTCAGTCCATGCAATGCATCTGTACACTGTATCTAATTTGCATATGAATGTGTTCTTGGGGCAACATGTATTGAAAAAAGTGGTGAATAATGGGAGTGATAATTGGGAATATTTTCATAAGAATATCTCACATAAAATCTTTAAAATCTTTCTCTATTCACTTGTGTCTATGCCTGATATGTCATGATGTACGTTCTAGTGTCCTCTACAGAAGTCATGTATGAAATCAATTACCTGTTTTGTAATCGTAACAGAAAGTCATATTCTGATTTGAAACCACATAACATTTTCCTAAAATGTAGATTTTTGACAAATAATTTGAAAATTAGTCAGATTTAAATGATAATTACAAAATATTATCATATTTCCTAAATATAGACTTCATTATCTTTAAGTAAAATCTAGTTAGTTAGTTATTTTTGTTGAAATGATCAGGACATGTTCTTGACACGTTTCGAGAGATTGAGCCATAAAATATATCACGAGAGAAAATAATGTGATGCTGTGTTTTATCCAAAATCAAATTGTCTAATTTTTAATTTAATAACATAAAGTCAGAATTGCGAGATATAAACTATATATATTCTGACTTTTTTGTATATATTTCTGACTGAAGTTTTTTTATTACGAGTTTATCTCAATTCTGAAAGAATTGTGGGATATAAATTTGTAACTGCAAGAAAGAAGTCAACTGTGAGATATAAACTCGCAATTGCGAGAGACTATTTCTCACAATTGCAAGTTTATATCTCGCAATTCCTAAATTATAACTCCAATTTATATCGCAATTCTGATAAAAAAAAGTCAGAATTGATAAAAAGTTTATACATTTAATTTTATTCCATAGTGAACACAAGCTTCCATAGAAATGTGACCTTGACATGGTGTTGTGGGATTCACCCACATATTGTGACAGTTCTAGGTCATATGGTCTTTAATAAAATTACTAATATGAGAACTTACTTAGGCGACCATCCTTGCCACTTTAGGAGATATTCCACATTTCCCTGAAATAAGAGAAAGAACGAAAAGGAGTCACTTTCACTTTAAAAGTTCAGAGGGAGACATACGTCACCATTCTATTCTCAACAAAACCATGATACAAACATCCCACATATTTTGAAAAAGCTTGCCTGTGTCTTTAAGATGTCAACACTCGGTAGTATTTTGACATGGAAGATTATGCAGGATGAAAACGGAGCTGCACTCGCTACTGTTACGGTGCGGTGATGTCACAGAGGGGTGAGTGAGTTCCATTTAAAAAGAACAGCGAGTTTAGGGAACATTCGGAAATAGGTGGGGCCATGGAAACGCGTAAACAACTCGTTTCTTGCAACGTGTGGAGCGACGAAGGTCTTTCCCCCGTCATGCTCGAGAGTACGAAACGAAACCCGCGTGCACATAGAGCGTTAGTCATCATCACCATCACTAGCTATTACTGTGCATTACAACATCTGGCTGTATACTACACACACACACACACACACACAATAATAAATAAATAACATTAACACCTACCAAAGAGATACTTGCTCGTGCGTGCTCTATTAATAAACATGACCTATTTTATTTATCACTATTTAAATAGGCCCTATCTAATCTTGTTTATTCTGCAGTTGGTCCTAACTGGTCCAATTTTTTTGACAACTGCGCGGATGTTACACGTATCATCCTTGACCCTGCACCCGTATAAAAATAAACTGCGTAGCTACGAAACGCGGCGATTTTACGAGCGAAACGCGCATTGATGGCCATGATGATGATGACACGCGCGCTGTTCTCACACACCCCCTCCATCTATAGCGCTCGCAATTCAAGCGCGAGACGTTATAAAAATCCACAAACTTTAGAGAATTACATGTCACCGCACTGTTTTGCACACCAGAAGTCATGCACCGAAAAAGTTCCGAAATGTTACGCAAGCTTAGGTGTTATTCACTCATGAGTCATTCCAGAACTGGCAATAGAAGAAAACTGTGCGGACTTTGGGGGGTATTAATCATTTCAAAACAGAAAGTAAATAGTGCGTGCAGAATAAAAAGCATTAAAGCAACTGAACATAAATGCATTTCCCCACGCACAGCAACGTACCTTTCTTATCCTCTTCTTCGTTATTGCCTCCACAGCAAACACTTGCTCTCCTATTGATGACAGCTCCATGTTAATGAGATCATCCAGTGCAGCAAATATAGTTTCTGATCTCTCCCGTTTTTCCTCCTCAGGGGATACAATGTCGCTTAACTCTACTGCGTAGACTCTGAGAGTGTTCTTTTTAGGATTTAAACCCACTAGTACTGTTGGTGCACCATCAGGTCCGCCGCTGTTCCAGCTCTTTCTGAGTTTTAAAATCTGCGACACATGTACGCACTGGCTTGGCTTGGCGCGTGCACGCTCTACGCGCTCGCGCCCACCCACTTCTCCGTCTATGGCAAGCAGTGTTAACATTTATTCTTCTAACATGTAACTATTTAATTATAGTTATACTATATTTTCTAATTAGCAGTCAAATAATGACTAGTTAGCACGTATTTCTTGATACATGGTAACTAGTTGTTATAGATAAAAAAAATTACTAGAAAGATTAAAAATGTTTTACTAACAATTGCTATACATATTAGTGTCTAATAAAGGTACCTGAGTTCAAACAACTGGGAAACTATAATCTATCTAAATATTTAGGCTAGGCCCACTAATAACTAAAAAATATATTTACAGACCCATAGCTAGTTACTAATTCAACAGCACGAGGTACCATCAACAATCGGTATAGTAGTCTGAACCACAGATCCCCATAGCAGGGATGTGATTGTGCGAGTGAAAAAAAGCAGGATTTTTTTAAATAGTAATAAATTATATTAACTGAATAAACTGTATATAAAAAGGGAGCAGAGAATGTGACCGATAGAGCCCAATCTCCACGAGTTCATGCTTTCGCAAGAATTCACGAGTTTCAGTCAGAATTCAGTCAGAGAAAGTGCGCACTGGAACAAAACTCTTCGTTTCAGCAATGACTAATCTGAACGCCTCTGATTGGCCATCACACTCATAAACTCAACGGAAGCGCGTGCGATTGGTTATAATGCTCAATGCTGCAAAACGAAATCTGATGGAAATGCCGCAGTCAGATGGATCGAATAATGTTAGTATTGTAGTTTGTTTAAACAATATTGTCACTTAAACATATTCTATTACATAAATATTTTGAAACACATTTTCATGACTTTTCCAAAACATAAAGGCTGAAATAACCGGAATCCCGGATTAATCCGAAATAATCAAATCCCGGGCATACAGTAGCCTGAGCAATAGCAAAAAAAATTGAATAGAACACTATTGAATAGTAGCCTTCTAGTAGGCTACATTACATTTTGAAGAACAGCTTACATTTTATATAATTTTAACTAGTAATAAAAAATCAAACAATATAATAGTTAGTTTTAAAGGGTTAGTTCACCCAAATATTTTTTAAAAAAGTCACCAGTTACTCATCCTCATGTCGTTCCAAACCCATACGAATTTTGTTCATCTTCAAAAGAAAAATTAAGATATTTTAAATAAAACCTGAGAGCTTTCTATCTCTCCTTTGACAGTCCATGCAACTACTCCTTTGTTGCTTCAAAAAGTTCATTAAGAGATTGTAAAAGTAATCCATATGAATCAAGCGAATTGAGCAATCGAGTGAATATGAATTTAGTCAACATTTTATGAAGAGACTTGATCACGTTATATGATGAACAGATTAAATTTAGGCTTTTATTCATATATAAACATTGATCAGTAAACATAATTAGAAGCTCAATCGTATTTCCTTGACGCGTGAGAACAAACCTCACTTGTTTTTGCTGAAGCTCAAACGTGCTGCGTAACACACGAAAATGAACCTCATTGGTTCTTGCGAAAGCTCAAACGTGCTGCATAACACACAAGAATGAACCTCATTGGTTCTTGCTGAAGCTCAAACGTGCTGCATAACACAAGAATGAACCTCATTGGTTCTTGCGAAAGCTCAAACGTGCTGCGTAACACACAAGAATTAACCTCATTGGTTCTTGCTGAAACTCAAACGTGCTGCGTAACACACAAGAATGAACCTCATTGGTTCTTGCTGAAGCTCAAACGTGCTGCGTAACACACAAGAATGAACCTCATTGGTTCTCGCTGAAGCTCAAACGTGCTGCGTAACACACGAGAATAAACCTCATTGGTTCTTGCTGAAGCTCAAACGTGCTGCGTAACACACAAGAATGAACCTCATTGGTTCTTGCCGAAGCTCAAACGTGCTGCGTAACACACAAGAATGAACCTCATTGGTTCTCGCTGAAGCTCAAACGTGCTGCGTAACACACGAGAATAAACCTCATTGGTTCTTGCTGAAGCTCAAACGTGCTGCGTAACACACGAGAATAAACCTCATTGGTTCTTGCTGAAGCTCAAACGTGCTGCGTAACACACAAGAATGAACCTCATTGGTTCTTGCTGAAGCTCAAATGTGCTGCGTAACACACAAGAATGAACCTCATTGGTTCTCGCTGAAGCTCAAACGTGCTGCGTAACACAAGAATGAACCTCATTGGTTCTTGCTGAAGCTCAAACGTGCTGCATAACACGAGAATGAACCTGATTGGTTCTTGCTGAAGCTCAAACGTGCTGCGTAACACACAAGAATAAACCTCATTGGTTCTTGCTGAAGCTCAAATGTGCTGCGTAACACACAAGAATGAACCTCATTGGTTCTCGCTGAAGCTCAAACGTGCTGCGTAACACACAAGAATGAACCTCATTGCTTCTTGCTGAAGCTCAAACGTGCTGCGTAACACACAAGAATGAACCTCATTGGTTCTTGCTGAAACTCAAACGTGCTGCGTAACACACAAGAATGAACCTCATTGGTTCTTGCTGAAGCTCAAACGTGCTGCATAACACGAGAATGAACCTGATTGGTTCTTGCGAAAGCTCAAACGTGCTGCGTAACACACAAGAATGAACCTCATTGGTTCTTGCTGAAGCTCACACGTACTGCGTAACACACAAGAATGAACCTCATTGGTTCTCGCTGAAGCTCAAACGTGCTGCGTAACACACAAGAATGAACCTCATTGGTTCTCGCTGAAGCTCAAACATGCTGCGTAACACACAAGAATGAACCTCATTGGTTCTTGCAGAAGCTAAAACGTGCTGCGTAACACAAGAATGAACCTCATTGGTTCTTGTGAAAGCTCTAACGTGCTGCGTAACACAAGAATGAACCACATTGGTTCTTGCTGAAGCTCAAACGTGCTGCGTAACACACAAGAATGAACCTCATTGGTTCTTGCCGAAGCTCAAACGTGCTGCGTAACACACAAGAATGAACCTCATTGGTTCTCGCTGAAGCTCAAACGTGCTGCGTAACACACGAGAATAAACCTCATTGGTTCTTGCTGAAGCTCAAACGTGCTGCGTAACACACAAGAATGAACCTCATTGGTTCTTGCTGAAGCTCAAATGTGCTGCGTAACACACAAGAATGAACCTCATTGGTTCTCGCAGAAGCTCAAACGTGCTGCGTAACACAAAAGAATGAACCTCATTGGTTCTTGCTGAAGCTCAAACGTGCTGCGTAACACACAAGAATGAACCTCATTGGTTCTTGCTGAAGCTCAAACGTGCTGCATAACACGAGAATGAACCTGATTGGTTCTTGCGAAAGCTCAAACGTGCTGCGTAACACACAAGAATGAACCTCATTGGTTCTTGCTGAAGCTCAAATGTGCTGCGTAACACACAAGAATGAACCTCATTGGTTCTTGCTGAAGCTCAAACGTGCTGCGTAACACACAAGAATGAACCTCATTGGTTCTTGCTGAAACTCAAACGTGCTGCGTAACACACAAGAATGAACCTCATTGGTTCTTGCTGAAGCTCAAACGTGCTGCATAACACGAGAATGAACCTGATTGGTTCTTGCGAAAGCTCAAACGTGCTGCGTAACACACAAGAATGAACCTCATTGGTTCTTGCTGAAGCTCACACGTACTGCGTAACACACAAGAATGAACCTCATTGGTTCTCGCTGAAGCTCAAACGTGCTGCGTAACACACAAGAATGAACCTCATTGGTTCTCGCTGAAGCTCAAACGTGCTGCGTAACACACAAGAATGAACCTCATTGGTTCTTGCAGAAGCTAAAACGTGCTGCGTAACACAAGAATGAACCTCATTGGTTCTTGCTGAAGCTCAAACGTGCTGCGTAACACACAAGAATGAACCTCATTGGTTCTTGCCGAAGCTCAAACGTGCTGCGTAACACACAAGAATGAACCTCATTGGTTCTCGCTGAAGCTCAAACGTGCTGCGTAACACACGAGAATAAACCTCATTGGTTCTTGCTGAAGCTCAAACGTGCTGCGTAACACACGAGAATAAACCTCATTGGTTCTTGCTGAAGCTCAAACGTGCTGCGTAACACACAAGAATGAACCTCATTGGTTCTTGCTGAAGCTCAAATGTGCTGCGTAACACACAAGAATGAACCTCATTGGTTCTCGCTGAAGCTCAAACGTGCTGCGTAACACAAGAATGAACCTCATTGGTTCTTGCTGAAGCTCAAACGTGCTGCATAACACGAGAATGAACCTGATTGGTTCTTGCTGAAGCTCAAACGTGCTGCGTAACACACAAGAATAAACCTCATTGGTTCTTGCTGAAGCTCAAATGTGCTGCGTAACACACAAGAATGAACCTCATTGGTTCTCGCTGAAGCTCAAACGTGCTGCGTAACACACAAGAATGAACCTCATTGCTTCTTGCTGAAGCTCAAACGTGCTGCGTAACACACAAGAATGAACCTCATTGGTTCTTGCTGAAACTCAAACGTGCTGCGTAACACACAAGAATGAACCTCATTGGTTCTTGCTGAAGCTCAAACGTGCTGCATAACACGAGAATGAACCTGATTGGTTCTTGCGAAAGCTCAAACGTGCTGCGTAACACACAAGAATGAACCTCATTGGTTCTTGCTGAAGCTCACACGTACTGCGTAACACACAAGAATGAACCTCATTGGTTCTCGCTGAAGCTCAAACGTGCTGCGTAACACACAAGAATGAACCTCATTGGTTCTCGCTGAAGCTCAAACATGCTGCGTAACACACAAGAATGAACCTCATTGGTTCTTGCAGAAGCTAAAACGTGCTGCGTAACACAAGAATGAACCTCATTGGTTCTTGTGAAAGCTCTAACGTGCTGCGTAACACAAGAATGAACCACATTGGTTCTTGCTGAAGCTCAAACGTGCTGCGTAACACACAAGAATGAACCTCATTGGTTCTTGCCGAAGCTCAAACGTGCTGCGTAACACACAAGAATG